CCCGATTTAAGGATTTAAGGCACTGAAAAACCCAAACCTTAATTAATTACTTAAGTCATTGTTAAGTGTTATTGAGCAGTAGCGAAGTATTTAGAAAAAGCCGTAAAAATAATACTCCGTTGATTGAAATTGTTTGAATTATTGAAAAATTCAGTTTTTGTTTTGCCAGAACAAACTTAGAATCATTCAGAAAATAGTGATTTCGATGTCGTAATGTACAAATAATTATTTACACGTAATAACTTGTATACAGAGTTAATTCTTTGTAGATCTTGCTTTATCAAGTCTGTCGACTCCTAAGGAAAATCCTTTTGATAAATTCGATTAATCAAAGCATCACATTCTTATTTCGTTCCGTATCGCCCAACTGTGGCCAATGTTCAAAATGTGGTCAGTAATCAAGTACCTACTTCAAATAAAAAATACAGCTAACTGTAATTCATACCTTGTTATTTTAATATTTTTCTTTGGTAAACGTATTCACCTAATATTACGACGTTACCTTATGTTTAAGTCCTAGCTTTTTATTTATTAGATTTCTTCTAGATTTTCCATATGAAATAGACTTTGGTTAAATTAATCATTACTTGGGTATACGAACGTTTTATATGAGACTAACTTATAGCCGATCTAATACTGTAAAATAAACCTGAAACTGGTTGAAATAAATATCTTTACTTCTTTATACTACATAACAGCGTTGACTATAATCACTTAAACTATCCTTCTTTTCGTTCACAAGCTATTTCGCTTTGGAACTCTAAAGACAAGTCATGGTAAAAAATGTCCCAATCATCACTCTCCTATCGTAGCAATTATGTTTTTTATTTGAAATGAATCAACAACGAGCAAAGACCTCTGCGATTGGCCTTGACTTTGAAACATGTTATGTACTTACATTTAAAAGCTCTCAATAAATGTTTATCCCAAACTTCTTAATATGTATTATCGTTTATATGGGCTGCCACCGTACCATTTAGATTTGTTTTATCAGGTTTCATGTGTTTATAACACTCTGGTCTCTGAGTCATATGTCAAATATTTTACGAAATTACCTAAACTACTAATTGAAACCTTTCTTCGAACTTTGATGTTCCGTTTGGAGTAGAGACTCTTGGGCCGTGGGTTCAAGTCCACAGCAAGATTTAAGTTGGCTGGTAAATAGTACCAGTGACCCCAGAGCTGGTGCTTTCCTCGCTCAACGAATAAGAACAACAGCAAGGAAATTCTGCCTGCATTAAAGGTATACTGCTACTAGTACGGGAGGTAGCAACGTTTTCGAGAAATAATTTTAGGTCAGCTGATTTTGTGATATGTCTTCCTTCTTGCACTTTCGGTTAGAGTCTTGGCAATCTGGCTGGCGGTAGCGGTTGCGTTCTTTAGTGCGCATCCTATCTGTCCAGGTAATAATCCTGGATTTTAAAAGCATTATAAGAAGCGTAATTTTAAATTTTTCGTTTTTAAATAAGTCTACCTGACATACTTTTTTTATTGCCAGACATTTTTCACATTGATTACTATGTGCCAGACGCGATTTTAAGTTTTTTTTTTTATAAAAATTTCAAAGTATTTTAGAATGTCTGTAATTTTAATATTATGTTCTTTAAATATAAGAAAAACTAAAAATGAATTTTCCAGACATTAATTCGGTTGTTAAGTCTTGAATTAAAATGAAAAAGTATTGCAGTATGATGAAGCGTTGCATTTTAAGAAGCGCAATTTTTAATTTTTCCTTTTTAAATAAGTCTACCTGACATACTTTTTTTATTGCCAGACATTTTTCACATTGCTAACTTTGTGCCAGACGCGATTTTAAGTTTATTTTTTATAAAAATTTCAAAGTATTTTAGAATGTCTGTAATTTTAATATTATGTTCTTTAAATATAAGAAAATCTAAAAATGAATTTGCCAGACATTAATTCGATTGTTAAGCCTTGAATTAAAATGAAAAAGTCATGAAAAGTATGGCAGTATGATGCCTTTCATTGGTAATAAAAACATTTACGTAAGTTTTAATAAATGTTATTCATACAGTGTTAAATAACTAAGTAATTAAAACTATTGAAGAATCATTATCGTGTGAAGAACACGAAGAAGCTGATTCTAGGATTATTTTTCATATTTGCCAAATCGATTTTGACGCAGAAGTTGTTTTACGCTGTTCTGATTCTGAACAAAAAAAAAATTAAAAATAACGCTTCCTCAAATGCAATGCTTCATCATACTGCAATACTTTTTCATTTTAATTCAAGGCTTAACAATCGAATCTGGCAATCTGGCAAATTCATTTTTAGTTTTTCTTATATTTAAAGAACATAATATTAAAATTACAGACATTCTAAAATACTTTGAAATTTTTATAAAAAAAAACTTAAAATCGCGTCTGGCACATAGTTAGCAACGTGAAAAATGTCTGGCAATAAAAAAAGTATGTCAGGTAGACGTATTTAAAAAGGAAAAATCAAAAATTGCGCTTCTTAAAATGCAATGCTTCATCATACTGCAATACTTTTTCATTTTAATTCAAGACTTAACAATCGAATTAATGTCTGGCAAATTCATTTTTAGTTTTTCTTATATTTAAAGAACATAATATTAAAATTACAGACATTCTAAAATACTTTGAAATTTTTATAAAAAAAAACTTAAAATCGCGTCTGGCACATAGTTAGCAATGTGAAAAATGTCTGGCAATAAAAAAGTATGTCAGGTAGACTTATTTAAAAAGGAAAAATTAAAAATTGCGCTTCTTAAAATGCAACGCTTCATCATACTGCAATACTTTTTCATTTTAATTCAAGACTTAACAACCGAATTAATGTCTGGCAAATTCATTTTTAGTTTTTCTTATATTTAAAGAACATAATATTAAAATTACAGACATTCTAAAATACTTTGAAATTTTAATAAAAAAAAAACTTAAAATCGCGTCTGGCACAAAGTTAGCAATGTGAAAAATGTCTGGCAATAAAAAAAGTATGTCAGACTTATTTAAAAAGGAAAAATTAAAAATTGCGCTTCTTAAAATGCAACGCTTCATCATACTGCAATACTTTTTCATTTTAATTCAAGACTTAACAACCGAATTAATGTCTGGCAAATTCATTTTTAGTTTTTCTTATATTTAAAGAACATAATATTAAAATTACAGACATTCTAAAATACTTTGAAATTTTTATAAAAAAAAAACTTAAAATCGCGTCTGGCACATAGTTAGCAATGTGAAAAATGTCTGGCAATAAAAAAGTATGTCAGGTAGACTTATTTAAAAAGGAAAAATTAAAAATTGCGCTTCTTAAAATGCAATGCTTCATCATACTGCAATACTTTTTCATTTTAATTCAAGACTTAACAATCGAATTAATGTCTGGCAAATTCATTTTTAGTTTTTCTTATATTTAAAGAACATAATATTAAAATTACAGACATTCTAAAATACTTTGAAATTTTTATAAAAAAAACTTAAAATCGCGTCTGGCACATAGTTAGCAATGTGAAAAATGTCTGGCAATAAAAAAAGTATGTCAGGTAGACTTATTTAAAAAGGAAAAATTAAAAATTGCGCTTCTTAAAATGCAACGCTTCATCATACTGCAATACTTTTTCATTTTAATTCAAGACTTAACAACCGAATTAATGTCTGGCAAATTCATTTTTAGTTTTTCTTATATTTAAAGAACATAATATTAAAATTACAGACATTCTAAAATACTTTGAAATTTTAATAAAAAAAAAACTTAAAATCGCGTCTGGCACATAGTTAGCAATGTGAAAAATGTCTGGCAATAAAAAAAGTATGTCAGACTTATTTAAAAAGGAAAAATTAAAAATTGCGCTTCTTAAAATGCAACGCTTCATCATACTGCAATACTTTTTCATTTTAATTCAAGACTTAACAACCGAATTAATGTCTGGCAAATTCATTTTTAGTTTTTCTTATATTTAAAGAACATAATATTAAAATTACAGACATTCTAAAATACTTTGAAATTTTTATTAAAAAAAAACTTAAAATCGCGTCTGGCACATAGTTAGCAATGTGAAAAATGTCTGGCAATAAAAAAAGTATGTCAGGTAGACTTATTAAAAACGAAAAATTTAAAATTACGCTTCTTAAAATGCTTTTAAAATCCAGGATTATTACCTGGACAGATAGGATGCGCACTAAAGAACGCAACCACTACCGCCAGCCAGATTGCCAAGACTCTAACCGAAAGTGCAAGAAGGAAGACATATCACAAAATCAGCTGACCTAAAATTCTTTCTTTTCAAACGTTGCTACCTCCCGTACTATACAGGGACCAAACTTTTTAAGCTTGTTTTAATTCTTTATTTACCAATTTTTAATTATTATTATTACCAAGTAGCTTAAGAATATTGTAAATACTGTATATTTGTGTGTAGAACACATAATTTTATTTAAACATAGGTAGGTAAAAAACAAATCAATCTTAAATTTCTGTGATCCATAAACAATAGGCTTATATATATCATTATATAAAATTTATTGACATTGCTAAATAACCGTTTGTAATCATATTTGTCAAGCCAAAGTCAAAGGCGGAAACTTGACAGGATTCTTGGTATGAAAGGAAATAAAAATGCTGCAATATGTTCAATAAATTATAATAATAATTTAAAATATAATATAATAATACTAAAACAATAAATTATTACACAAAATCATAAATAGTGTGAATTTCATCAGGCGCATAAAATTCCGTCCATTCATTTAAGAGTGGTGAGATATGTTACAGTTATAGGTGACTCTTATCATAGTATATATATCTAATACATTAAACGTACTGTCCAATGCAAAATAATCATAGTTTCACCTGGATCATTTACCTCGTATTACATTAGTCTTAGTCCATTCTAAATAAATAATACATTTGATAATTACGCAGACTTCAAATGTGCTTTAGATTTCACCATCAGTCGCCGCAGAACAGAATAGCACAGCCAGAAAAAGATATACAACTTAGAATCCGTACTGATCATGATATACGTGGCCAGAACTGCTATTAAAATTCCAACGGCGTTCATAATTAGTCGTAGTCTCTTAGATGAAGCGTTCTTCTTGCAGAGGCATTCTGTTGGTGTTGATTCGAAGGTTTCTTGGGTTTTTGTAAAAAAAAATTATATTTCATTTAAATTATTACAATTTATATAAAAATAATAAAAAAACTCTACTGTTGCCTGGAAGAAATCGCTTGAATAAGCCCGTCCGTTGCTTGATATTTTCAATTAATTTTTTTTAAATTTATTCTTAGTTTCTTTATCATATTAAATTTTAGTTAAGACAAATATTATAAATTTTCAGCAACGTGGGCCCCATATAATGCTAATGTTACTGGTCGGTAATACTTTTTATGCCAAATAAATATCAACAATACAAATCATAGTAATATTATACATACCTTGTACGTTTTCACAAATTGTTTCCATTGTTCCGTGATCGGTAATCGTGATCCGAATGTGACAATAAAAATTAATTTTAGATTTAAATATAATCGGCGTAGAAAAGATGAAGGTTTGTTAACAAAAACATAGGAAACGTCTCCAAATATCGAAGGCTTTCCGGTGCAGATAGTGTATTGGTGCGGAAAATTAATTAAAAAGATTTCCCTAAGTAATTATTAGATCTAAATCTTCCGAGTTTCTAAATGATAATATGTAGCACCTATTCCATTTTTTATGTAACTCGTTATTCCAGGAATTTGACAAGGGTTTAAGTATTAGATTTATTTATTTACTCATAAAAATGCATACAAGTATTTCGCTTAGTACGATACGATAATGTCGAAATAAAAATAAAATATATAATAATAAGTATTAAATATGTATTTAATACTTATGTGTAACATTGGATATAATTTTAGCTTTGGTTAATGTGGTAGGAATAATCAGACAGGTTTTTAATGAATTAAAAACAATAATTTTAATCAAATATTTTTATAAATTTTATGTTAGTGACATGGCCTGTACTATTCTCGGTAACGCAATTAATAGTTTCGGGTAAGTACCTCAATAAAAGCTCTTCCCAATGTCCAATACTTTTTGTAATTTAACATATTAAACCATCATATACTATCTACTATTGAGCAGTTTTGGCCTAGTGGTTTCAGCGCGCGTCCCTCATCCCTGGCGTCGTAGGTAATCGATCCTCGGAAGTGCACCCATGGGTTTTTGTCAGTGTGCGCATTAAACACTCGCTCGTACGTTGAAGGAAAATAACCTGAAGAAATTCATGCCTTAAAAAGTCGACTGTGTGTGAAACAGAGATTTGATCACCTACTTGGCTATTAGAAATGGTCACGGAACAGATACAGAAATCTGAGGGCAAGACCTAAAAGGATGTAGCGCTATAGGTACATATATTACCTACAATATTCGAGGAAATAATTGATTATTATTGTAAAAAATGTATTATTTTCAGTTGACTTGTTTGACTATTGTGCACATTTAGTGAATATCAACAATTGATGCATTTTTTCCTCCGCCACCTTGCTCTCAATAACGCGTAGTTTTTGTTGAATTAATTCTGTATAAAACCGAGGTAAAAGATAACTAAATCATACTTAACAACGGATAACAGTCAACATGCCATCTCCCTGTGAACCCTGCAAAGGTAAGTTACGAATAAAACATCTCAATCATCGCAATTATTTGATGTGGACTACTGATTCAATAGCTAATTTGTTTTGAGTAAGATCAAATATATAAAATCTTTTTATATATTTTTTGATCAATTTGATCTCAGGAATCCGTCATCAAAACGTTTTTAAGATGTTTTTGTGCCAGAATCATAAAACATTTTAATTGTATTGTTGAGATTAATACTAAGATGAAACCAACTATCCCGCCATTCCTATTAACAACTCCTGCCCTGCGATTCTGTAACTCACTTTTCGAACTCACACAGCGGTTTTCGCTGGAAAAGTGAGTTACAGAATCGCAGGGCTCTTATGAGTTGAGGTCCAGTGTCCAGTATTGATTACATTTTATATTAATATACTTTATTAGTCTTAGTTCGATACAGTTGCTTCATTATTTCCAAGTTACTTTAGGCTAATAACAACCTAGTAAGAATTCACCCTAAGGTTTACATCCATATTACTTACGTATGAGTAAATTCTAGACCTCTATGTTAAGTTTTAAAATATGTCTTGCAAAACACATAACAATGACCTCACACAAAGATTTATTATGATATCAGAGGGGATCGAACGCACGACCAGGAGATATCGCAATAATTCTAAGATAAGATTCTTCTAGACTGATAGCTTATTCTATAAAAACTTTGTTCTTCCGTCATTTAGTTCACTCTTTTATTTAGAATATAATTAATTTCAGATTCGTGCCCCGAAGGATCTTGCCAAGACGCTTGCACCTGTAAAGAAAAAGGCTGCAGTGATTGCTCTTCTAAAGGTACAATATTCGTCTAAGAATTATTTATATAAATGTGAGATCTGTGTTTAGAATCAATAAATATGTCTGTTTAGGTTTCAGGATTGGAAAAGGTACATACAGAATTACCGTAATAGGTAGCTGAAAGCGCTGTATTATTTTAAATTTTTTTAATTGTACAGTATTTAACTATTATTGTAATTTTAAATTTGAGTTTATAATCAGATTAAAAACAGTACAACAGTACATTCACACAGAAAGTACTTCAATGCACACATAAACATTGTTTTTTAAATCTTTTGCAGGTGGATGCTGCTAGAAGATGGACCGAGTTGAGCACGAAACCCGCTCTCGGGCTACTAAGTTCCTTGAAGCTTTCTTCCCTATATCATTTTCTGTCGTCTTCCTTATAACAATTGTTTTATTTTATTGTCTAATATAAATGTTCTGTTGAATGTTGTCTTTTATTCAAAACCTATACATCCTTGTGCTTGGAAATGAGTTGCGCCTACATTTCTTAAAATAGTATAATTAGTGAACGGAAAAAATAGAACTTGTCTTGGCTTATTCTTTTTAGACAGTTTTACTTTAAATTGACATAGCACTTTCTCGTAACTTGGATTTTTTTAACAAAATTAAAGTAATTTTTAGTTAGTTTCTTTATCTTCTTTGATATGTATGTGTATATGTTAACGTAAAATTGTAAACACCGTTAGATTGTAATCTATCTCGCGAGATTATAAACTGTCGAAAGATTGTGAACCACAGCGTACTGCTTACAATTTAACGTATTATTATTCGGTAGATTGTAATCTATCGAAGTGAAACTGTCAAATTGTGAAACGGATCGCACCTCGCGCGCTGATTGGTTGAACGGAATATGCCCCGCGCCACCATATTGGTTGTTAATTCGTTTGTTGTCGAATGTAAATTGATTGTTTTTAAGAATTTAAATTGATGTCGTGTTGAAAGTAACTCACAGCTTTAGAATTAGTTATATGAAATTGTTGGGAAGTAAAATATATCTGTGATTGACCAAAGAAGTTTGAATGATAACTAAGTTAGTGTTGGAAATTAAATGAAAGAAAATTTCATTAATTTTTCAATTTTAATTTGTGTTTGAGGAGAAAATGAGTTGGATTTAGAAATCGGTAATCCGAATCTGATGATACTGATTATTCAAAACAATCATCAATACAATCAATTTACATTCGACAACAAACGAATTAACAAACAAATATGGTGGCGCGAGGCACATTCCGTTCAACCAATCAGCGCGCGAGGTGCGATCCGTTTCACAATTTGACGGTTTCACTTCGATAGATTACAATCTACCGAATAATAATACTTTAAATTGTAAGCAGTTCGTTGAGGTTCACAATATTTCGAAAGTTTACAATCTCGCGAGATAGATTACAATCTAACGGTGTTTACAATTTTACGGTGACATATATACCTACACATCCCAGTTCCATTTCGGCGTCTTCCTAATTTACATCAGTTTTGCGTCCATGTGTTCGAATAGCATTTGTCTTCATATCTTTGCATATATTGCTTTATAATCGTAAAAAATATTATGATGAGTTTATAATTAAAAGATACCCTTTATTTATCAATATACAATTGTAGTTCATACTGGTACCGATTGGAACCCACAATAATTATATCTACGCCCATATCGCGTCGCCGTATATCTGGCCATATCCCCCTCCGCCCCCTCCAACTTTAACGTGAAATTGACGTCATTGTTTTCTTTGTTGCATATTGTTGTTGCTAAAGTCTACTTCAGCTTAAATACTTCGTTATAATATCCGCCCACAGCAGACCGACAAATCCTTACATCATCAGTTGGTTCAGTATCTCATACGCCTTGAAAACACAACGTTCAAAGTATCTACCAAGAGAAGTTGGAAGTTGCATCGTACAAATTACAAACGTATTTATTATGTCTACGGATTTATGCATTTTACTTGCAGTTTTGCAATTACGATATAATCCATAAACATAATATTTTATTTCATAACGTCTAATTTTCCCGTCAATCCGTTAATATAGTATTACGTACAATGGTGTGACTTATTGAGTGCCGACAGTATATTCAATATTGTATAATAAGTTTAAGTTAAATCTACGTTGGACAAGGCAAAATTCACTGTGTTACCGCGCCAGGAAGTAGATAAGCCGAAGTCTAACTATAAACAATCTCACCTATCGCTATTACTTTGTTGCCAAACGTATACTCTGCAAAACAACAGCGCTGCTCAATTCAAACGGAATCGTCAAGAAATTAATTATAAAATTTGGATTAAAATGAATTTATTGTTACCAATCCAGTTAATTATTAAGTACTTAATTATATGTAAAAATTTGTTTGATGGCGTAAAAAGAACTTTATATTTAGTAACTAAGTTACTTATAAGTTGTAAATCTTTCTCATTAAATAAAAAAAAATGTGAAAAAGAAAGAAAAAGCAGCGTCGAGCTGCCACACTTATATTATCTGTATTTATTTTCCCGGAGTTGATATCGACTAAAAGATGAAGGGTTTTTGCAGAAATGACTCACGGTGTCCTATATTTTCGCGGATTGTTTGTCTTGAGATTTTAATTTAAAAAAATTATAATAATAAATAGCTTCAATCCGTTAAAAAAGTGTTTTTTTTAAACAAACATAATCTCAAAATATTACGTATAAGGTACGCGTTATTTTTATGTTTGATAAAAATATTATTGACGTTCTTCTATATGCGTTATTATTTAGTTATTATTAGTTCTGTAAACAGTATCTACTTACTTTTTGTTTGACAGGAGACAAACAACGCACTTAGAGTTAAGTGCTCATGCACCTGGAGTGCACCTGCAAAACCTTGGAAGGAGCTGTCAAGGGCGCATCTTTTTTTTTGGGGTCGTATCGGTTTGAAGATATTCCCAGCTTGTTTCGTTAAGTGGAGTTGCGTGGCAAAAAGTTTTATAAAAAGCGCCCTGTCGTGGAGCATAAACGTGATACGGACCGATGATGATATTTAGCCGCCGACGATAAAGACGCGTAAACAGTCTGCCTTTTATATTATTCAATGAATTATTACCCCATTCTAAGAGTTGGAGATGGGTTTAGAAAAAAATTACTTAATAAAAAAATCAGTGGCAGTCTAAATGTAATGTATATATGTAATGGCAGTTAAACACAGTTATATTTTAATACATATTTATTACCCAACGTATTATAAAATATTTTATGAAAAGTACATACACTCAAGTTTCGACTATATTCGAAAAACCCCTGGAGTAGGAAAAAATTATGAAATAGAAAACGATTATTTCTTAAAACTAAAAACACATTTTTATTTTTGGATACAAAGCACAAAATTGGACTTGAACTTGCTATTTCTTAGCTGAAGCTTCTGCGTCCTTGGACCGCTTGCATGCGCAAGAGCATGATGAATCGCATTTGCATGATTGGCTGCACTGGGCAGTGGTGCATTTGCAGCCTGAAAGAATAAAAAAAGATTAATATTAATGGAACTGAGTAACGTTAGCTCAGAAACCTGTTTTAGACAGGTTTCCTGGGTTTTAAGACTCGGTCGAGTGATTGAAAACATCGTGAAAGATCCAACGACCAAAATTATATTAAATTTTTATCTTATCAACGTATTTAATAAGACTTGATTGACATCCAAGGATGTCTCAGTTATTCAGACTAACAGAACGATTTGTTACTTGGCTATTTTGTTGTATAGTTATTACAATACGACAATTTGTATACTTCTTAAGTATTTCAGTGAATCGTGAGCAAAGTTAGTATTTATTCTGAAGATGTATGTATTAAGGTATGGTCAATGTTTCATAATATTTGATGAAATTTAATAGTGTTTATCAACATTATTTCGCCGGAAAGTAGTATATTATTATTAGTATATGAGAAAGTACGAAATATTATTCACGCTTAATTAATAATCTGATTATAATGTCCTTTATTTAACCGATTATAAAAAAAAAAACTTGATAACAAAGTTTTGACTTATTTTAAATTATAAAAATCGTTCCCATTTTTCTGTTTCGTGTTAGTTACTTGTTGGAATTCTAAACTATTTTATCATTTTTACCCAGAGAAAACTCTCTTTCTTGTGAAAAGTTCGTTTCGAAATAGTGACGCAATTTTAGAAAAGTATTAATTCAGAAAAAATGGGAGTTTTTGAATCCTTAAAGTTTTAAAAATATATATTTTTGGCTTTGGCGAATATAAAATTATTACAGATAATAAAGTCAAATATAATTTGACATGAAATGCACTGTATGCCTTATATCATAATAATATATATTCGGAGAGAGGAGATATATTAAGCCATGTAAAACGGTTAATATATAAAGGTATGGTATAAGGGAACCAAATGTCGCTCTTCTGACACTTCGATTTTTTATTATCAAAATTTCATAAATTAAGAAATTAGCTCGAAGATTTTGGATATTGGGGAATGTAATACAAATACTAATATATTTATTTATAAGGTGTAGGATGTTATAAACAAAATATGTTTAATTTTGGTTACTAACGCTCTTTTCCTATATCTTTTGAAAGATACGGAAGCTCCAGATACATAATATTAATCGGTTATGTTATTTGAAAAAATTATTATTTATTTATTGGGAATTATTTTCTTATTTTTATCTATATATGTATTACAATTCACATAGACTATACCAAAGCACGACACTTTAGAAGGTTCTACACAAAGAGGCTTTTAATACTTAAACACTAATAACAACGGCCTGTCCTAAATAGATTTTATACTCCTAGGCAGTACTCGATTCAATAGCGGAACACGGCAAATTAATAAATTGGTCTATAGGGGTGGGATATAAATTTATATTAAGTATAATATTTTGTAATAAATAATAATCTAAATAATTAATTTCTTATTGGTTATAAAAAAAGTACTTACTGTCACCGCAACCTCCGCAAGGCATTTTATTTCAAAATTATAGCCACAGTAATGCAACTAAACAACTGGAACTTGTTTCTTTGAGTGCACTGAATGCAGTGCCCGCTCATTTATACACACATCTATATTACTTTAGATTAGTCGTGCGATTCGAAGATCGAATACTTTGACCGATAATTTTTTTCTAGATTTTTCGATTTATACGCTAGAACATAAAAATGTAATAGTGTCTGTATATAAGGCAGGAGCCTCTGTTAGGAAACAGAAAAACAACAATACAAAAGAAGTGTTGTACTCATTTACCACTAGCCACGAAGGTATCTTATGTAAATTTATATTAATAACCACTACTTCCAAAGTTTTTCTAAGAAATTTCCATGTTTAAACATTATTTTTGATTACGCAAGACGTAAAACTAATAATGTCGACTGTTGTATTTTATTCGATTGATTTAAATTCTAAGAAATACTAGATTCAATTGTCAAAATCTTAATGCAATGGGGGTAAGTTTATTACGCTTGACTCCAATTTTTAACCAAAATTCTATAAATTAATTCAGACACATATCCGATTTCTAAAGCACTAAAATCTCAACGTTTGTTCCCGACTCATTACGATGTTACATTTGCTAATGCATTACGGTCTATATAAGCGATAGCTAAATGTAACAACGTGCCCAAAGCGTAATGTACGCTGTATTATCGAAAATATCGCAATTCTTAATTATTAAAGAAAATTGGTAAGATTGGAGACGTGTGGTTTGTTTTGCACTCAGTACGGTTGTTGTGGCGAATGGAAACGACCAGAGAATGTTGTAAATAAAAGCAATCCAATTGAGTGCACTTGAATCGATCAGGAGATACGAGCATTTAAGAAAAGGTTATAAAGTATTTTACTTCCATGGGCAATTAAAGTGAATGCGTTTGCGTAATGAACTCCCGGTGCCTCGTATATACTCTCATTTCATCAGTATCGTTTACGTTTTTACAGCATATCCACGCTAAATTTTAAACAAAAAAGGGAAAATCTTCTTGCATTAATCTCTTCTAGGTACGTTTTTAAATCACAGGCGAAGAGTCAAGAAAACTATTTAGCTTCCATTTCCCACATGTTCTCCCAGTGGGGAATGGCAGCGTGCTGTTGCTGGACTGTGGAAGTAGATAGAGTACATAGCAAAAAGGTTTTATTTTCGGCAGCGGTGATAACTGTCTGGAACGTACAGACGCATAATCTGTTCTAAGCAAACCTTCTCTTTCTCTCTATCTCATTATCTTTAAACCAAATTTAAATAAATCTAAATCCCTATGAATTCAAGTGAGTCATTCCTTAAAATGTCTATGAAAAAATTCATAGGGATACGTAAGCTGTTATAACGAGAAAATAAAACACTTTTTTTTTCAGTATATACATATTTTTTTTCGTTAATTCCATGACCTTATTGTCGTCGGAGGTATTAAGTTACTTTGGTGCGTATAAATTATCATTAGCAAAATAGCATTTGTAATATAGTAATACGATGATTAAGTACTACTTATTTCTGTTCACAACTTTTTGTATTACATTTAAAGCAAATTTTCCGTAGGTTTCAGTCAGTCAGAGAAAAAGAAACACTTGCGAAAGTGATAATATATTTATATCTCAAAAACTAAGAAGATAACAATAATTAAAAATGGATAAATAGAAAATTAAAACAAATTTAAAAACTTAGGTCCCTGTAGCAGTGTACCTTTAACAGGCGGCATTTCCTCACTGTATTGCGGTACTTATTCGTTGAGCGAGGAAAGCACCAGCTCTGGGGTCACCGGTACTTGTTCTCAGACGCCTACATAAATCTATTTATCAATTATGTATTATTATTTTGAATTGATTTAAAAAAATGTAAATACTGTAAATTTGTATGTTAGAAATAATTTTCAAGTAATGGTCTAGATGTTTTAAATTGTAAAAAATTTACGCATCAACAAACCATACTACACCGTCTGTACTCTTATAATAATAATCAGTGGCGCTACAACCTCTTTAGGTCTTGGCCGCACATTTCTAAATCTGTTTCATGATCATTTTTAAACCTAATAGGCAAGTAGGTGATCACCTCCAGTGCCTGACACACGCCGTCGACTTTTTGGGTCTAAGACATGTCGGTTTCCACACGATGTTTTCCTTCACCGTTCGAGCAAATGTTAAAAGGGCACATAGAAAGAAAGTCCGTTGGTGCACAGCCGGGGATCGAACGTACGAGATCAGGTATGAGAGTCGCACGCTGAAGCCACTAGACCAACACTGATATTGTCTATTCTCTTACATTCGAGTAATATTTGTAGAGGTCAAATTGATTTCGTAACACAACTGCTAAATCGACACAAGTGCTTAAATTAAAACAGAAGATCAAGTACTAGTTTTACATAAAATCAATATCAATACAATGGGCAGAACAGATGAGAAGTTGAAGAAACTCACGGTAACACGGAAGGCGAAACACGTGGCCGTTTACCACTCAGATGAACCGATCAAGTCAAAGACTCGTTGTCCTCAATACGCTGTAATAAGAGAGGCGCTAGACAGAAACCTCAGACATGAGCTACCGACTAATGAAAGAGAGATATCGAAAAAAATTGCAGTGGCATGAATTTAATTACTTCAATTTTAAAATTAGTACCACATTTTGCTATCACAAACTGATAAGGCGTTAAATGTACTATGCATGTAAAGTCTCACTTTTACGATTTTTAAGCCGTTGCATAACGTTAATATGGTTAAGGGTGAGTCTGTAATCAGTCATCACGGAGAGTGTTCAGAGGTGTTGTTCGGATCTGCAGCTGAGTTTTATCATCGGAAGTCAAGGCGTCAAGAATAGAAACACACACACAACTGAGCGTTTGAACACAACTAAGGCAGTGGAACCGGCTGTCCACTGAAGTATTTCCAAACCAATTCGACTTACAGTCATTCAAGAGCGTACTGTTATACGACGTCCCGGATTTAGAGTTTTAAAAAAAAGATTTTATTTTACACAAAGGATTTAATTAGAAATATAGATTTAGAAAGGCAACTGCTCGGTTTGAATCGTAAAATGGGACTGACTTTAAGCTGAAAGATAATGCTCATGGCAGTTGAATAGGAGAATGCAAGCTTGCTAAAATAGAGGCTGACATAGGGTTGTCTCTAAGGTTTTAAATATATAACAACCCCCTCGTTATGAGGAAACTTACGGTTTACTTGTAAGTTTACTTAATATTTAACAAACTCGCAAGCGGGCTACTGAAGGATTACTCTGGTTTGCCAGATTATTATCTTGCTCAACCGGGATATTATTGGAAACTTGGAGTTTTCTTGAACATTTGCCTTTCTTATAAAAATATACAAAAACAAAACTAATAATTAAGATTACAGAGAAAATACTTAAAATAGGAAAGCTAACATGATTATTAAAATTATTAGGATTCTTGATCTCATTTAGATCCTCCATTGACATGTCTGAAATAGCTTTAATTGATTTTAAATTATCAAGGTTAATAATCTTGATTTTTGGAATAGAAATGTTATTACTTAATTTGCTTACACTTTTACAACAATCATCGTTAATAATATCAAAATTCGAGGATACAGCGGGTACATATGTTTTAGGATACACTTTAGTCACCAACTTAAGGTTTTTATGAAAACCTACACAATCTATTGGTAGACTTAGTACACCTGTACCGGATATAACTAACTCAGATACATTTTGATTACATTCAATAGACAATTTAGTGGATTTTGATTGTACAAATATCCATTTGTTATTATTTAACTTATGCCAAATATCTAAATCACCAAACATAACCTTAACAGGACAATTTTCCGGAAGGGTAGTTAAGGCTTTAGTAATTATTTCGATTTCACATGAAGGATTATTAAGTGCTGCGTAGACATCAGTTATTTCACAAAGGTAAGTATCAGTAAGTATGCTTTTACAATCATTTAAATCTTTGAGATAGATATAAGATAGTTTATCTGTGCTCAAGGCTAAAAATTGTTCCGAAGGGAGGATCATAGCGAAAGAATTTAAATTACCCTCCGTATGTGGAATCGGCAATGGTACAGTTTTATAGATATTAAAATGTTCTAAGGTTACGAGTGGAATCTTTACAATAAACATTAATTTTTCATTGAAATAGTAACAAGTTAGATCGGCTATATTAATTAGAATATGAATATTGCTTATATCTATGATTACAGGAAAATCTCTGTACTTAGGTAGTAACTTAAAATTATTTACAATATCATTGTACATTTGGTTCGGGGTTAGAACTGAAGGATGCAATGTGTTACTTTTAATGAGTAAAATGGAGTTAAGTAAGTCTTCCACCTTAAATGATAAAGTCAGTAAGCTTGATTGTAAAATATTTAAAATGTTATAAAAATTATTCCTAAAGTTAACCTCATTAAAAGCATCTGTTATATTGGATACCGAAGACGCTAATTGTTTGACGACACCATTCAATTTTGCTTGATTAAGGTTCATTTCATGTAAGGATTGATTTATATTGGAAATGGCAGATTGGGAAGCAATTACGGTTTTCTTCAATGTTCCTGAAATCTTTTTATCATTTTCATAAAGAGTTTTAATAGCGTCTTCATAGGTTTTCGCATCATCCTCGGTCAAGGTACCGAATATGTGTTTAAATACAGTGCCTATTCCGGAAAACCATGCGGATCTTTTCGAAATGTAATTATCGGATACTAGATGTGAAACGGCATTAAAGTCACGTTGGAGATCTTTAAGGATTGCTTCTAAAGGTTGCAATAAGTTATGACATTGCGAAACACCAATTACTTCGCTTCTCTGACAATAAGACTGAACGTTATTGAACACTTTATTTATGTCCATTATATGATTTTGTATGGGAATGATCTCTACGGGAATTACAATATGAAATTGGTCGTTTATTATCTTTAGTGTGCTAACAGGGTCGAAGAAGATCCCAGGACCTTTCACTATATTTTTGACATACTGATTTTCAGATTCAGCTAGGGTGACATTGCAGAGAATTGCGATGACCCTGGAAAATATGGGAGCGTGTTATAATACTATTAAAAGGATTAAAATAATGTTACTTATAAGAAAAGTAAAATTTGATATAAACTTATCTTATAAAACTGGCGACTTAAATAACTATACAAAGTATATGTGTATAATAAAAATAAAAACATTTATAAAATAAAATTTAAATTAGATCTCGTGAGCTGGTTTTACTTCATCAAAATGATGTTTAACATGACGTCGATTTATTAAAAGGTGTAAAGTATTATTATCGTGGATTTTAACGATTTTATAGGGACCTTTCCAAATTGGCGAAAGAGCCTTGCGCAGCCTGACGTGATTTTTTAAATAAACATAGTCACCTACTTTATACTGTAAAGACCGCGTGTGTTTATCATAGTAGGTTTTGATCTTTCTTTGGAAGTTTTGATATTTTCCAAAGCCTTTTCTCGAGAAATTTGTAATCGGTGATGGAGCATTTTAATATACTCTGGATATGTAACGTCAGGGCGTGATTCAAATATTGAGTCAGGGATATATGGCTTGTGGCCGAAAACAAGTTCGTATGGAGTGAATTTAGTCGTTGTGTGGACACTACTATTATAGGTTAACATGGCGGTATATACGAACTTATGTCAGTTTGTCTGATTTTCATTTACATAAGATTTCAAATATTCCTTTAAAGTTGAATGGCTTCTTTCTAAAGCGCCTTGCGTTTGAGGGTGGTAAGGTGATGACCAAATTTGTTTAATCTTTAAGAACTCGCATGTGCGTTTAAATAATTCGGCAGTGAAATTAGTTCCTTGGTCTGTTAATATGGTTTTAGGGATACCAAATAGGGAAATAAAGTGAACTAAACCTTCGCAGGTTTCTTCTGCTGTAGCGTTTGATATTGGGTATGAAATGGAAAACTTGGTCAAATCATCCTGAAGAGTAAGTATGAATTTAAGTTTTTGAAATCCAGCTTCAGGCAAAGGGCCAACTATGTCGAGGCTATTTCTTTCAAATGGGCGTGTAGCGGTAGTCGTGATTTGCATGGGTGATTGGTTGATCTTCCTCAGTGCTTTGTTTGATTGACATAGTTTACAGTTTTGTACATAATTTTCTATATCTGTACGCATATTCTTCCAGTAATATCGTTCTTTGATTCTATTATACATTCTATTTGAGCCCAGATGTCCTGCAATCGGGATATCATGGTTTTCTTTAAGGATTTTAGTGATCTCGGAAGGAACAGGATATAGGATGGTATTATGGTGTATATTTACTGTTATGTTAGTATTATTAAATAAGTACATAAGCATGCCATATATTTTAACAAAGGAATGTTGTTCGAAGAGACTTTTAAAGTCAGATATGGCTATTTCTCCAATGTTCGCGGAAAGCAAGATATCGTCTCGGGCTGTTTTGAGAGTTTTGAATATATCTGGATATGTACAGTCGTCGAAATAGTAGACTTTAGTAAATAAAAGATAGTATATCTTGTTTTTAATTTCGATTTTTTGAAACGAATGTAGTTCTCTTTCTGAATTCAGGATATTGGTAGTGTCGGGTAGTGTGGACAGAATGTCTTGGAGATATGGATTTGATTCATCGAAGTCGATTGATACAGGGATTAAGATGGCTTTAGAATTACTCTTAAGGAGACTTTCATTGTGTTCCTTTATATGAGTGTTGAAGTTTTCATTTTTGTTTGAGAAAGTTTTCAGGAAGTCGTTGTAGTCAGTGTTAGAATTTGAAGCGCCTTGAAGAGGTGAAAAGCGTGAAAGATTTTGCGCAGGTGAGTTGGTCTCATTCTCAGGGCTAGTAGCAGGAATCAGCATTTCATCGTTTTCTAAAAGATCGATATTGGGTAGGCTGTCACTATCAGCATTGGATGTCGAAGGGAGTTGGATACCTAGATCATCTATTGTTAGAGGACTAAAGGGAAGTGGATCATTCTCACTTGAAGACGGTATTACCCGAATCAGTCTGATCTTTGATAATTGGATTGACGGGAAATCGAGACAGAGCGTCGGCGTTACTATTAATTTTTCCTTTTTTATATTCAACGTTGTAGTCGAACTCCTCGAGTTTTAAACGCCATCTTACAAGCTTGGATCCAGGATCCTTACAATTAAATAACCATTTCAGTGGTTTATGGTCTGTCAAAATTGTAAATTTGTTACCATACAGGTATGGTCTAAAGGTTTTAGTTCCCCATATGATAGCCAAGCATTCCTTTTCTAGACGCAAAAGCGATAGGGCGGTCTTTTCCTATAGGCCCTTGTGATAAGATAGCGGAGATTGCATAGTTAGATGCGTCGCATGTGAGGTTGAATGGTTGGTTAAAGTCAGGGTAAGCAAGTATAGGTGCGGATATCAAGCTATTTTTTAGAGTTTCAAAGGCTAACTGTTGTTCATGTTGCCAAATGAACGGAACATCCTTCTTTAAGAGGTTTGTAAGGGGTTTAGCAATTTTAGATAGGTTAGGTATAAAACGACGATAGTAGGACACTAATCCCATGAAGGATTTAATGTCTTTAGGACATTTGGGTTGGGGAAAATCTTGGACTGCTCTGGTTTTTTCGGGATTTGGCTTGACGCCTTCGTCAGTTATTATGTGACCGAGATAAGAAACTTCCTTGCGCAGAAATTCGCATTTGTCTGGCTGAAGTTTGAGGTTAAACTGTCGGAGTCTGTCAAAGACATTTGAGAGGTTTTTCATATGTTTTTGGAGATCAAATGAGTAGATTACGATGTCATCTAAATAAACAAAGCATTGTAGCCCTTGCAGGCCTGATAGAGCGGAATTCATCAACCTCTGAAACGTGGAAGGGGCATTTTTGAGCCCAAATGGCATCCGCGCAAATTCAAAGTGTCCTTGTGGGATGGAAAAAGCAGTTTTGGGAGCGTCGGCTTCAGACATTTTAATTTGATGAAAGCCAGAAGCTAAGTCGAGTGTACTAAAGTATTTACATTTACCCAATTGGTCTAAAAATCTCTGAAATATTAGGAATAGGGTAAGAATCTCCAATAGTGATATCATTTAATCGGCGATAGTCGATAACAATGCGCCATTTACGCTGACCGGAAGCATCGAGCTTTTTTGGAACTATCCAGATCGGAGATGACCATGGAGAAGTTGACGGTTTGATTATTCCTTCATTAAGCATTTTATTAATCTGATTGTTTACCTCTTGTTTATGAACTTCAGGAAATCGATATGATTTTGTATTAATGGGTACAGAGGAAGAGGTTGGTATCTGGTGCTCGAGAGCATTAGTACAAGTCAGAGAATCTTCAGGGAGGTGGAATATATCCGAAAATTCAGCGCAGAGATTGAATAATGAGTCTCGTTCTTCGTTATTAAGGTGAGTGACTCTTAAAAGGTCTAAGACCTGCTCAGTTCTGTTAACAGCATTGTTGGGGATTGTATGAGATATATTGAATATTTGGTGATTTTCTTTGTTTTCCAAGGGCGTAAGTTTTAAATTTGAGTTTAACGTAATTAGAGACTCAGAGATATTTACAACAGAAATGTTTATCCTAGAATTAGGTTTAACCTTGACAATGCAGTTAGCAATTAGAATTGAGTCGACGGGATTTTGATCTACCATCAAGCCTTCACCTATTTCTGGATTAAGTACCGAGCATTCTATGATGGTTTCAGTTCGGGGAGCAATAGTATATATTGGTTCATTAAATTTTAAAGCAAGTTCAACTTGACTAATCGTAAGCGATTCATTCCTAAAATCAATGTTTGAGTAGTTGTCTGATAGGAAATCGTTTCCAATTATACCATCGTAAGGAAAATTTATGTTATCAATAATATGAAATCGATACTTCAGAGAGTTGAATTCGATAGGTATACGTCCAAATGACTTCATTGGTTTATCTGCAGTTCCAATTCCTGAAAATGTTATAGTATGTTCGTCTATTTCAGGCATGTTTTGAATAGATGATTTCTTTATAAGGCTAATAGATGCACCACTGTCAACAAGGAGCTTAAGTCGTTTGGTAGATACAGAGGTTTGAACTTCCACAAAGGGTAAGTATTTTTCGGATGGATTTGAAGTAACGTTATGTATTTTGTTATATATATTGTTTTTTATTTCAGGTGTGGTGTTTGAGGTATCGACCATGGATGTTGTAAGAGGAGATATGGCGGGCATGTATTTCGGAGTGCCGGATACCATAGATGCATATGTCCTTCGTTGGGAATTTATTGCACCATTATTAGAATTAGGGTTATGTGGTACAGAGGATTTTGTAATTGATTTATTAACGTTGCTACCACTATGAGTTTTATTACCCTGCTGTGTAACTTTGGACTTTGAAATAGGAGCATGGTCTTCGTTTTGGGGCTGGTTACCCTGCTGTGTGACCTTGGATTTAGAAATAGGAGCATGGTCTTCGTTTTGGGGCTGGTTACCCTGTTGTGTGACCTTGGAATTGTAATTGGAAATAGAATTTATTCTACGTTGAGGGTGGCCTTCATTTTGGGGCTGGTTACCCTGTTGTGTGACCCTGGAATTGTAATAGGATATAGAATTTGCGGTGTCATATTATTTTGGATATAGCAATAGAGGACGTTGAAATTTCGGACTCGGGAGACACCGTCGGGAGTCCTTTATTCGTTTAAAGGATTATCTGTCTCATCGACACCATAATCTTCATAAGAAGCTATTGCATGAATCGGTTGGTTCCGATTTTGAAAGGAAGTAGTAGGGTTTGTGCGGTAGTTTGAATTTTGATTGTTTCCAAATTTCTTATTATTGTATTCTCGTTTGCGACAACCTTCAATAGTATGCCCTGGGGCCTTGCAATATCGGCACACTATAGGATTAGAGGGCCTAAACGCGGCAGATGTATTATTATTAGTGCCATGTTGTAAGGCTGATCGATTTTGTGAATATGATGAGTGAGATGGGCGGAATCGTGCCTGATTCTGAGTATTTGGAGTTTGCGAGTAATTAGTATTTCGTCGTGTCAAAGCATTAATAATCTTTTCCTCCGAAGTAGCGAAATTAATGGCGTCGTTCAAAGATTCAGGGTCACGGCATCGAACTATAGTAGACAATCTTGGATTTAGGCCGACTACAAACGTGTGTAACGCTAAGTCATTCATAGCTGCGACGCGGCCTGCCAGTTCGTCTTTTTTCTTAGTAGGGATAGTTATATTAATTTCGCATAATAATTTTGACAAGCAAGACTCTATTCGTAATGCAAACTGGTTGACCGTTTCGTTGCCTAATTGAAGACATTCTTGTAAATCAGAAAGCAGCGCAGCATAGTGTTTTTTATCACCAAATTGGGATTTTAAGAAATCTTCAAGCTGGTGCCAATTCTCGAATTCTTTAACACAACAAGCCGTTTCTGCGCGTCCTTCTAATTGACTTACAATAAATTTTAATAAAATGTCCTGTTGATTTTGAGTAGCAAGTTCTACCGCATTTTTACAATTGTTTAAAAAGGCACTTAATTTTTCACGGTTACCATCAAATTTGTTTATGAATTTAATTAATATATTTAAATCAACGTCTGTAGATGGCCTATTCTTAGACTCGCGTACAATTACATCTTCCTTAGGCATCTTCACGTAGGATATGGCTTAGACAAAACAATACTGATAACGACGCGACGACGGCTAGCGTTACTGAGAACTGATTAGGCGATGCACTGATTTCTAATTGGTATTATAACCAACTATGAGATTATAATTTTATAAAACCTTTCTATTTTTAGCACTTTGAACTTCACTAATTGTTTTCGCACAACACACTGAAATACGAATATATAGGATTTTTTTTTTTTTGAAGACTTACAGGAATGCTGCAGTTTTACCAATGAACATCTTTGATGTATGGGGCGGAGACGGCGGATGTTTCTTCACAAAACAATTTTAGAATTCACAGCGAATAGGAAAATCTAGTTATTCACAGAAATATTCACTTTTGTAATCACTCGTTAGTCGCGACTGCCAAACTGAGGCGTACCGAGGATTTTTAAAAATCCCACCGCTGCCACCAATGTTATACGACGTCCCGGATTTAGAGTTTTAAAAAAAGATTTTATTTTACACAAAGGATTTAATTAGAAATATAGATTTAGAAAGGCAACTGCTCGGTTTGAATCGTAAAATGGGACTGACTTTAGCTGAAAGATAATGCTCATGGCAGCTGAATAGGAGAATGCAAGCTTGCTAAAATAGAGGCTGACATAGGGTTGTCTCTAAGGTTTTAAATATATAACAGTACCAATTCTTAAAAGGCCGACAATGCACTGGCGAGCCCTCTGTCATTGAGAGTGTCCATGGGCAATGGGCATAATCACTTAACATCGGATGATCGTGCTGCACGTTCTATAAAAAATAAATTTAAAAAAGTCTAATTCCACTCTTTTAACTATATTTTAGTTTTCCGTCTCTTCTGTCAAAATGTGATGAAAAATGAGATATTTCTGATTTAGTTAAAACGACGTTGCAATTAGGCTGATTTCATTTTGATGAAAATAGGTGTTTAACTCTGGAGACCGGCCCCATCCGTAATGAATGAATATAGATATTAATGTAGTAGTACTAGTAGTCATATTTTTTATATATTTATACAATAACACAATCTCTAGATGCTAGATATTGTCATTTAGGAAACTCGTATACCTACAAGTTCCTTTAAAACCAAAAAAATATCCGCGTCCAAGGCCAGCAACAGTATCGCAAGCCCTTTCGCATTAATATCGTACATGTATCACTTAACATTATGTGAGCCTCCTGCTCGTTAGCCCCCGATTGAACAAAAATGCTAAAAAAGATTAAAAAACAAAATTTGTTGTGTTACTGTGTTTATATAGTCAAGTCAAGTCAAGTCAAAAATCATTTATTCTTGTAGGTAACCCAATGTATACTTATGAACGTCAAAAAAGAAATATACATTAAATCCTTCTTATTTTACATTTACTGCCAGTTCTCAAATCAAGGGCGTAGAACGGAAAAACTGACAATAAACTCTCCGCCACTCTTTTTAATCGCCATTACACCATGTTCCACATGACATCTTAAGTAATACATAAAAATGGTATGAAAATTATTAGCGTTCTTTTTTTATAAGCCGAAAAACGAGCCTACCGGATAGTTATAACACTCAAATGAGTTTTCATGGGCATTCACCGTAGCCCATGAACACCCATTTTAGTAGGCGCGTTGCCGGTACGAGTAACCTTTCTTCTTTCTTTCTTTCTTTCTTTCTTAGCAGATAAGACCTCCACCGAGAGCCGATTCCACAGTTAACTAGTTCGCAAAAGAAAATGCATATAAAGGTGGTGCAGATGAATTCTGAAATAATTACGTGTGATGATGAGGCAGCTAACCCATACTGGTCTTCAATACACTCTGGAGAGTGTTTTGAAGAACTGGTGGAAGAAGTGTACTATGGATAGTACACTTTTTTGAATACAGATAGAGACGTGATGTCTTTTCATAAGAGCGATAATCAAACAGATTAGTAATACGTCCAACGATTGAAAATTCTAGAAGCTGGTATTTTGGTGCACCGGCCAGATATTAGAGCAGTATTCCATCTGAGGTTGTACATGAGCCTTGTAGAGCTGCATACGTTGTACCGAAGTTAAATACTGCTTAGCCCTAACCAAAACACCCAGGTTTTTTGAACGCCAGTTTGGCTATTTCTTGCAGATGATTTTCTTCTTTCGATATACCAATTCCAAGTTTATTGAGACTGTATGGGTTTATTCTTTAGTATAGCGCTTTAAATTGAGAAGATACGACAAAAGGATCTTTCTTGGCGGAATACCAACGGACACGACTCTTTGTAGGATTAACTCGTAACACTTCGCCATGACCAGAGAGTTAAAAACGGGCTACCATAGAAAATCAGTGTTATTTCAGATGTTCTATGGATGAGTTGACAACTGAAAGTCATACCTAGTGGAATCAAGTCAATTCATTAGATACACTTTGATGATTAATCACTACTTCCTGTTAGGAAGTCCTCAAACTAAGATGACGTGATTCTCTATTTTTAGTCTTGAAATACGTGTGTTAGTCAAATTTAAGCCTTAAGATAACTTAGTTAGAGTCTACGTTCAATTTCTAGTTTTATTACATTATCGATATATAAAATGTAATAAACAGCGAATAATGTAAATTATCTAGAAACCTTATCAAAATCGATAACTAATAAACGAAACTACCTCTGACATTAGAACATTTTATATCTGAAATGTTATAAATGTTTTTAATTTTTGCGCTTTTTTAGAGATACATTTACCTGAGAGATACTAAGAGACATTACTTTCAAATGAACGTTACGATGTTCGCTAAATTTAAGGCATTATCCTAAAGTTTCTGGTTCAATCAGACGTTTTACTAGTCGTCGTAGAATGAAAGCTGCTAAAGCAAAATCAGTGCAATGGTCACAGATATATTGTATTGGTGTAATGGATCACCATTTTTATAAGCTGCAATATTTACCAAAAGCATTGCTACTTAGTTTGTGTCAATTAAATAACTAGTAGTTTAGGACAACGAGGATTAAACAAAGAATTTGGCACACCCAACGTTCCTATTCACTATCTTATCATATCTTCAGATAACGCCATATCATTGGGCACACATTGTACCAACACTCCAGTCATAGACTACAATACTCGTCCACCTGCCGTTACCGCAAAAATTATCAAAAAGATAACAAATAATATGAATTTGTGAAAGTGTCGAACAATGGCTAACTTTAAATTAGCATTAATAGTTTTAGTAGTAAGTGTTAGTGTAATTGCACAGGACAATGTTAGTGAAACAGAAAGAACTGCTAATGAAGAAGTCATTGAAGAGGCCCCAACGGGTGACGTAGAAGATAAATCAGAAAGCCCAGTAGATGATGCAGTGGAGATAGTAGCGGAATCTTTACAAGAAAAAAGCGGCAAATATCAAGTATTAGAAGATGAGTTGATTGGAGATGTACCTAATAATTTGGAGGCTGTTGATTTGAGTGATATTCAGATTGAGAGGCAGATGCTAATACCCTCAACAACCTCTCAAACTAATACTGAGTATGGTAAGATATATAAAGTATTATTTGATGACGTAAAATCTCGTAATCTTTGTTATAGAACAAAGGGAGTTAATAGGATTAACGTTTTTCATTTTGTTCAGACCAATAGTAAGCGTTAAATTAATTTAAAGATAAATACTTTAATGATTGAATACTTGTAAGTGCAGGTGCGTCAATGACTCAAATGCTGATTCATCTTAAATAGCGATGCGTTACACTTACACAATAATAATTACATATTGAAATGTTTTTTTCCAATACTGCCTTCTTTATCTGATATTATCAATGAGTCGCTTTACGCAGTGCCATCTTTTCGTAGAAACCTAAGATGAATTTAGGTTCGATATAGAATTTATTTAGTCAATTATCCAAAACTGCATTAATAAAACGTGGATAAAATTAGACAATAGTTAATTTGTGGTAAATACTAAGCCGAACACAAAGTCTAAGAACAATCTATACGTTAAAAAACTAATTTATGCATAAAAATCTGAAACGAACAAATGAATATCCTGCTTTTTACATATATTATATATATCACAATTAAGGTGTAATTGATTTTATTTAAGAGACAGTTTCGAGAAATAACAAACGCCAGTAAATTTATTATGTAGTTTAATGTGCTATCTACATCAAATTCAACTTAAAATCATAAAGTTGACCCAAAATCTTATCCTTGAGTATACTCGCGATGAAATCATTCTTTTACTGTTATAAATTTTATACTAGGTACTTGTTTATCTGCCCTGATAAAGCCCTTATCATCACCTAATTAGCTTTGCTGGTACGGTAAACCTACCTTTAAATCGTAACTTCATGTGAATTGAAAAGACTAACCGTACGTTATTAGACTATAATCACGTAAAAGTATATGCAAATTTTATCTTAATCGATGTTACAGCAATTAAAATTGTATTGTTTTATGTATAATTTGTTAAGCATTTTACATAAAATACATTATTTACATACCTTCGTAGTTTGCTGATACAAGATACTGCATATTCATTTGAGAAAACTGCTTATAAAGGAAGCGAAACAAAAACACTTGTACCGTATTAAATCGGTTTATTTTACCTATTATTACAAGGTTATTATTATTACACAAAACTATTTATTAGATAATATATCGTTTATTAAAACCTAAACATAACAATCAAATATACAGTATTTACTATTTTATTAACCTACATAGTAATAATAAAAATCATTAAAAATTAATACAAAGAAAATTAAAACAAATTTAAAAAGTTTGGTCCCTGTGGTAGTGTACCTTTAACGCTGGCAGCATTTCCTTGCTGTATTGCGATGCTATTCGATGAGCGAGGAAAGCACCAGCTCTGTGGTCACCGATATTATCTACCAGGCGCGAACTTAAACCTTTAATTAGCGCCTGTGCACTTGAACCCCACGGCCCAAGAGTACTCCAAAGGGAGAAACTAAACTATTGATTAGTTTTTTGTCATGCTATTCATAGAATTCTGTGTACCTTATTCATAGTTTAGTCATTATGATAACAGACTGACTCACTCACATCAGAAAAATGTGTTTAGCGCAATCATTGTGTAAACAATTTCTGTACATCTAAAGATGAATACAAACCGATTTGTCATGTCTTTAGTGAGTAGATTTTGCGTTAATAAGCGCGTAACTTAGCAACATTTTTCGAATGTGGTTTTATCAAACGAACTACTAGCTATCAAATTATTTTTCCTGATCTTTGCCAAATTATGTATATGTCGTGGCAGAGTATTTTGTAATATGTGCAATAGTACAACGATTTCATCAATTTTCAAAAAAATGTAATACCCTAATCTTTAAGTGTAGCTTTGCAATATTATAGTAATTACGCAGGTAACGTATCTTTACCGTGACCAACTTACAAATACTAACTGAACTTATGGTAAGATTAAATATCGAGGCTAAGCGCGAACTATGACTCCCTCACGTCAAATTCCATACCTTTTAGGTTTACGAAAGTCACACTTAGCGCTGCATGTCTAAATGTTTGAGCGTTGTGACACTAACAGAAATGAAATGCAGAAATAAATCAAATTAACGTAATTTTCTGCTGCGATTTTTCTGTCATCGGGCCATGACACATCATCATTTCATAATTTGGAACACTGAATAGATTAAAATTATACAGTCAAAATCTATTATAACGACATCGAAGGGACTACTCATATTTGGTCGTAAAAACCGATAGTCGTAACAGCCGATGACGTTGTTATTAAATACCTAATACTTAATATTGAATGTGTGATTAATAAACTCATGTATAAAATAAAACTACAATTTTATTTATCTCACATGAAAATTATATTAAAAAGACATTACGTACATATAATTATCATTTTTCTACATTAAAAAAATCTGTAATTTTTTTATAAGGCGGTCTAATAGAATTCAGCCGGGACCTTTGATTTTGGTCAATATAACCGGTATGTTGTTCTAAACGATGTCGTCGTAAACGATTTTGACTGTATTTATATAATATGAGATATTATACCCCACAATGATATAAAGGTGCGTTACGCATATAGATCTTTTAACTACAGTATTCTTATTCCACGTAAAGTCGCGGGCAATGTCTAAGATATAATATACTGAATGGTATTTACTTAAACAGGTAGAATTTCTACAAATAAGCCAGCTTTGTGAAGAATCGATAAGCTATCAATGTTATCGGTGACTGGCTTTGATATACCCTAACAACGTTGTTTGTTCAACTTCAACAAATCGTAACTGATTAGTGTTTTATACAGAAAATTTATTTTATTAGAAATAATATAATAATAACTTTGGCGTACGTTTTATATTCGTAAAAGAAAGTTTATTGAAATTTATTCTATATTTTATTTAAAAACATGTGTAGCCTTCTAAGTTAACCGATATAAAAACGTGTATTGAGTAATAGGGATGAGAAATACAAAAAAGTTTACCTAATGTAGCATCCAATGCGTGGTTATCCTAAGAACTATTGAATCGATATTTATGGAATAAGAACTCTTCCCTAACACCTTTAGTTTCCGAGAAATTTATGACAAAATTTTATACGCAATTAATCCCTCGTGCTTAATTTCGTATGAATTTTTATGAGATATAAAATGGCGGGCTAAAAATAAACATAAAATCTTTGCAGCTCACATTGATGGCAGAGTGCTTCCCTCAACAAGTTACCAGAACAATGGTCAGCCCTACGTCATCACGCCTCAGCGGCTGCAGCAAATACGTAGTAACTTCATGTACTGGTTCTACGACCAGGGGGGCAACGAGAACATTGGAGATTACCAACGCGACATTCACACGTCTACGCCGCAAATTCACAAGAACTTCAACTTCCAACTTCCCTTCTTTGGCTTCAGATTTAATTATACAAGGGTAAGTATTCAAGAAATAGCTATTAAATGTCTTGAAGAAGACAAAAATCATTCTGACTTATTATCATACTATTATATATAGTAAGTGTTGAGCAGTGTTAGCCTAGTGGCTTCAGCGTGCGACTCTCATTCTTCCATCCATCCCGGCCAGTGGACTTTCTGTGAACTGTCCTTGTACGCATTTAAAACATTCGAATGAACTCGAACAGTGAAGGAAACAACGTGAGGAAACCGTGCCTTAAACCCAAAAAGTCGACGGCGTGTGTCCAGTCCAGTCCAGCACGACTGATTTGAGCGCGACCGCCGCTGTGAACACCGCTGTGTGAGTTCGAAAAGTGAGTTACAGAATCGCAAGGCAGGAGGCTGATCACCTACTCGCCTTTTAGGTTGACTCGCCTATAATCATGAAACAGATATACAAATCTGAGGCCCCGAACAAAAAAGGTTGTAGCGCCACTGGGTCGTTTTTTAATTGTAAGTGCTAAATATTAATAATGGGGAAAGTTTAATGGTATATGTAGTTGAATAACTTATTTCCAAATATGTTATGTTAAATTAATATATTATCTAATTTTTCTAGCTGTATAGTTTCTTTGTTCTTTACAGTTATCCATGAACGGTTACATCTACTTCAGTGACCCGCCAGACCACTACACCTATCCACTCTCCTTCCCAGTAAGAGATTGGCCTACCGTCAACGACCCCTCGTTCATTGGTATCTTCTTCAGCAAATGCCGTATTGGAAGTCAGCGACCAGAGGACCCTGATCAGCGGAGACCTGGGGTTTACTTCAGAATGGATAGAGATTTACAGGTATAATTCAGAATTTACTATTATAATCACTTGACATTTTTCTGTAAAAATAACTTAACTTCGATGCTATCTGAACCGCATTCTGTATCCCCAAACGAAAAGAATCGAGAATTATCATTGAATAAATTCAAAACTCTCGTTAAACGTAAATTAATCAATAAAGATTTTTTTATAAATTTGAAGATTATTTAAATGATCCTAATCCTTGGGATTGATTTGCTCCTGTTCAAACAATTTGTATGAGTCAAAACTAGGCGATTAAAAGGAGTGGCTGAGAGTTTTTTGACAGTTCTTCTTGCCCGCTCTTGACTTGCGAACTGGTAGTAAATGTAACTTTAATTAAGAGAACTCAGCCGCTAAGTAGTAAAAAACAGTTAATAACAAAACCTTAACGCATGATCTATTGAACCATGCTGGTATATTTAAATAAACCTTAAAAATCATAAAATTTGAAAGTGGAGTTCGCATTTGTATAAATAATTGGTTGCCTCCACGATTTTAATTAATCGTGTGGAGGAAGGAAGTTGTTGCTTCCGACCCTCGACCAGTCTAACTATGGACTGGTTCGAAGGCCCCAGTATCTAAAAGGTAAAGAAGTAGTAGATATGTCCTAAGCTGTCCGAAGCTGAAAAAAATTACTGAAAAGATTTATGTTGATATATTGTTAGCCACATAATTATTTACTATTGTTTCGTATTCATCTACATCAAGTAATTATGTAATGATTAAACTAAGGGTCGCGTATATCTCCTGCATGGCAGAATTCAAAAACGTATTGATGCTTTTCATTTTTCAGACAAGGACTGATCAACTTGGAATAGAAATGCGAGAACGAGTGACCTGGGACATCCGCGAAGGTGTCATTGGTTCTGAGACATTTTTCCCGAAACACGCAATCACTATCACTTGGAAAAACATGTCCTTCGCTGGGGGAATAGATAACTCTCTCTTTATGGTATGTGCTCTTTAGATAGATAGAATATATAATTAATTAGTATGTAAATGTTTCTTGTACATAATTGTTATCATTAAAAATTTCTTTTCAGACAAACACTTTCCAAATGATCTTAGCGACTGATGAAGTTTTTACATATGCTATATTTAACTATCTTGAAATTAACTGGAGCTCTCACACTGAAGCTGGTGGTGATACTACCACTGGAGAAGGTGGTGTACCGGCATACGTAAGTAATTTATTATTTATAAATTTTATTTTCGAGAGTATCTTTTGATTAATTTATATATTTTTTAATGATTATACAAACACACATTTTTAAGCTTACCAATACTTAAAAGACCGGCAACGCCCGCGAGCTCTCTGACATTGAGAGTGTCCATGGGCGCCAGTGTTCCTTAATATCAAGAGAGCCTCCTGCCCGTTTATTTGTTCTAAAAAAGGAAAAAATAATAATTAAGTATGTTCTTTTCAAGATATAATCAATTTTATTTTATTCTGCACAGCTCAATAGAAAAAAAACTCAAACTAAAACTAAAGTTTAAACCTAAGATCCTTTTCCCCACCCGTTTTAGCAGAAATAAGAATTTAAGACATTGAAACTTTATATACTCTGACTTTTCAGATTGGTTTCAACGCTGGTAACGGTACACGTAGTTATGAATACAAGCCCTATTCTCAGGCATCAGTGCTTAGAGATCTGACAGGAAGAGGATGGGCGAATGGCTTTCCAGGTCGACATATATTTAGGATCGACGAAAACATATTAATGGGAACTTGTAATAAGGATATCGGTAAGATTATTTACATTATAACGTTAAGTTCAGTACACTTTTTTTTATTTGAATAATCTGGATAGTTTGGTCAACGCATCATGTTACTTATCAAAATAAATCTGTGGCGCCACTACCTTTTTAGGTCAGCCCTGCGATTCTGTAACTCACTTTTCGAACTCAAACAGCGGTTTTCGCATCGGCGGTCGCTCTGAAATCAGTCGTGAAGCAGTCATTTTATGATTTGGCATTCTGAAAAGGTAGGAGCTTGTAGTTTATTGTTTATCAGAATGCCAAATCATAAAATGACTGCTTCACGACTGATTTCAGAGCGACCGCCGATGCGAAAACCGCTGTGTGAGTTACAGAATCGCAGGGCTGGGCCTCAGATTTGTGTATCAGTTTCATGATCATTTGTCAATCTAATAGGCAAGTAGATCGCCGTCGACTTTTTGGGTCTAACGCAAGCCGGTTTTCTCAAGATGTTTTCCTTCACCGTTCGAGTGAATGTTAAATGCGCACATAGAAAAAAAGTCCATTCGTGTACTGCTGGGGATCGAACCTAGAGATGAGAGTTGCACGCTGAAGCCACTAGGCCACTGCTCAAAGCAAAAACCAAACCTTAGTAAAACCATATCTGTTTTCACATTGAGTTTTATAACATGTTTATAATATGAGCACATTGAAAATTTTCACGATTGTAAGAAATTTGCATGGATCTGGTTAGCGCTCCGCCTTCATAAGTTCTCATGTCAATTTCACACATGTGTATTCTTTCTAGAATATATTTTCTGTTTGTCCTCATTTAAGATGAGATGTTTAGTTTTGTTTATGAAAAATAAGTTAAAGTTTTTTAACATTACAGATGGTGCTAATCTGCCTTTAATGTTTGCCCCGGAGTCCGGTAACATGCTGGGCGGTACAATCGTCAACATAACAGGCCCTTGTTTCAATCCAAACGATCAAATCACTTGCAGATTCGACACAGAATCCGTTCGCGGTGCTGTGGTCGATGTGAATAGAGCGATTTGTGTTCAGCCAATGTTTTACCACAATGGTTATGCAAGATTCGAAATATCGATAAACAACGAACCCTTCAAATGGAAAGGAAAGTTCTTCGTTGGTAAGTTTCATGATATTTATTTGCGTTTTGTTCCCACGAGAATGTAAGTGCGTGCTCCTATTTCACCATGCCTACTGCTGATAGAGGACAAATCTTTGATATTAATTTAACTAACTATTAATTACTTAAAGATGTCATGAGGAACATGGTGTAATAACAAACATTTTGTAAACAAAAAATTAAAAAGAGTGGCGGAGAGTTTATTGCCAGTTCTTCTCGTCCGTTCTACGCATTTGATTTGATAACTGGCAGTAAGTGCAAAATTAGAAGCATTTAGCATTTAATATGTATTTCTTTATTATGCGTTACCTTAATAAATAAATGATTTTGAATTTGTTAAATATATAACTCAGTTCTGTATCGCCCAGCCCGTACATACAACGACCAATATTTCAGCCTTGACTTGTTTAAGAATATCCATAACGCTAAATAACCTGCATCATGAGCAAACCCCACATACACACCTTCACGAACACACCCTCACTTTTACTCCATCACACAACAAAGCCGAATTAGGTATTACTTAGTTAAATGTATTAATATTTTTTATTGCTTTTTCCCTTTGTAAATGTTTGAACTTTTTTTCAAAAATTATATATACCATCTTTGGCTATATCTACAGTATAATTGTTTTTTGTTATATATAATTAATGTTGGCTGTAGTACTACGTAATAAATAACTCTCAGCAACACTCTCAAATACAGAGTATTATACGCACACATACCCATCCAAAAACACATACATTCACGCATACTTATACAAATACAACTGTTCTTTGATTAGATGTAACATTAAGACAGGTCACACTTTTAGGTCTGAGACTCAGATCTGTTTCATGATCATTTGCCAATCTAATAGGCAAGTAGGTGATTAGCCTCCTATCATACATTTACGGCTTTTTGAGTCTAAGGCAAGCCGGTTTCCTCACGATGTTTTCCTTCACCGTACGAGCGAATGTTAAATGCGAACATCGACAGAAAGTTGGTGCACAGCCGGGGATCGAACTTACGACAGGGATGAGAGTCCCACGCTGAAGCCAGTCTTTACGCTTTTATTTAAATAGTCTTCCTATAAATTCGTTTGATTATTTCAGAAACACCTGCAACAGCTCAAGAGAAAATCTTCTTCACGGACAATGCCGTGCACGAGAGGTATCCTCCAGAAATCCGCATAACCTGGGATCGATTTAACTTAACAACCAATCTGAACGTTCAGCTGCAAATAGGGTTGTGGGGATATAAGGAAGTCACTATCAGACCTCAATTGGAATTCATAGACATGATAGAAGTAGGGGTGGCTAATACAGGAGAATACGTAATCAACCCCCAAAACTTCAGGAATAGAGATAATCTTATTCACAATGATATGCAGTTTGGATTCTTACAAATCAATTTGACGACTCCGGAACTTTATAAAGGAGTTTCTATTTCACCGTAAGTATTTACGGTAAAGTTATGGTAAAGTTTCTGAAAAGAGCAGTGTTGGCGTAGTGGTTTCAATGTGCGAATCTCATGGTCGGTTCGATCCCCGGCAGTGCACCAACTTTCTATATTCGGATTTAACACTAGCTTGTACTGTGAACGAAGACATCGTGAGAAAACTAGCAAACTTTAGACACATAAAGTCGACGATGTGTGTCAGGCACAGAAGGTTCACGTTATTGCCTATGAGATACAGAAATCTGAGGCCGAGACCTAAAAGGTTGTAGCGACTTTGTAGAGATTTGAAATATGTTAGACAAAGGTTTAAATTGTTTTCTGTCTTTTCCACATACCGCAAGGTACGCGAAAACTTAATTACTCAAACTCCAAAGCCTTTGAAAAATTATCTCGATACGATGTTGAATTAAAGAACAAAGTACGTCCTACCTTGTAATTTCAATATCATATTTATACTATTACTATTGAAAGTCATTTTATATATTCCTATTTTTCATAGACTCATTTTGTCTGACGTTTTAACTAAAGAACTGATCCGTCCCAGTATTTTATAATAGCACTTAAGTTAAATTTCCTTATACATACACTTGCATGTTTTCAGAGTACTATGGAGTAGACCAATACCACTCGGTTGGTACTTTGCTCCCAATGGGAAAGGCTGTACGGTCAACGATGGGCGAACTCTTTATGTAATAACTGGCTGAGAAATGATCGTTTCTTGAAGAACTTCGCGTCCCAAGTTTGGGTCTGTCCCTGTACTATGGAGCATGCTCTTTTGGATAAGGGAAGATTTTTACCAGACCAAAGTTGTGACAAAGATACCAACCCCACTTGTAGATACCACTGGGGTGCTATTCATTGTGTTAGGAGCGCTTCGCCAAGGTAAACAATATCTGATTGGATATCGTAATATTTATAAATGTTTAATCCATACTTTTTGAAGTGAAACTTCTTTAGACGCATGAGGGTAAATTTTTACGAAAATGTCACGAAGATGTGCAGCGTTTTTGTCGAAGAAAGGGGAGAGAGCGATTGAGACCGATTGAGAGAGTGAGAAGGGCGAATTACCTTATAGAAATTATATTTTTAAAATTAAAATTTCATAAAGAGAATTTATGAAATATTAGTATTTTATATTTTATGCAAAATAATTTATTGAATATTGAAAAAATTAAATTTAGAATTTGTATTATATTTCGACACTTTTAATATTTTAATGACAATTAAATTCATTAAATTCCTAACATATCTTCCTTTTTTCCTCCCTCTAAGTCTCGGAAATCTAAAGTATAAATATGAACAAAAGTTAAAAATTAGTTTGCCAAAGAAGTATCAATTTTCTACCGAAATATACGTGTTTCAGTCCTGAAGGATCTGGTCAACAATGTTGTTACGACAAGAATGGATTCCTCATGTTGTCGTACGATCAAATGTGGGGTTCCAGACCACACAGATCACACGACTTCGGTTTCACTCCTTACAACGAGGCTAATAAGGTAATAATTTTAGTTGCTTTATAAATATTTTAGTAAGTGTAAATACATATAAAGTCGACTGTCACAGATATAGCGGAAATATAATAATATAATATAAAACATATAAACATGCGCATTTAACTTTCGCTCGAACGGTGAAGGAAAACATCGTGAGGAAACTCAAAAAAGTTACAGCGTGTGTCAGTAACAGCAGGTTGATCACCTACTTGCCTATTAGATTGACAAATGAAATTTGTACTGAAATCTGAGGCTCAGAGCTAAAAGTGTGACCTGTCTTAGTGCTGCATCTAATGAAACAAAAGTTCTATAAGACCTAAGTATGCATGAATGTAGGAGTATTTGGACGGGTGTGTGTGCGTACAATAATAATTTACAGGGTCGGAAATAACCCAAGAATAAGTCATACCTTCTGTTTTAGGTGCCTTCTTTATCCCATTGGTTCCATGATATGATTCCCTTCTACCAATGCTGTATGTGGCAGGAAGAGCAGGCTGTAGGCTGTGAGACCTTCAGGTAATTTGAAAAGGATTTATTTAGCTATGATGAGTTAATGAGCAACTTCAACATAACATGTTCTTAATTTTTTATTAAGTCTTCTTTAACAATTATAAACGAGACTTTTTTTTATCTCGGCGTTTCAAATGCTTATCAGCAGTTGTGGTCAGCGAGATTTTCTTTGTTCACATTTTTGAAGTGAAACTTCTTTAGGCGCATGAGGGTAAAATTTTTACGGATACGTCACGAAGATGTGCAGCGTTTGTGTCAACATTTTTAGATTTAAATAAATATGAACAAGACTTAAAAATTAGTTTGCCAAAGAAGTTACACTTCTGACATGTGTACTTTGTACGCACGCACTTTTTATTTAATTTTTTTAAGTTTAATGTATCTAGTAGGAAAACTGCGCGTCATACCGGCAGAAGATCATTACTTTAAGGCAGTCAACTTCTGTACCTTCTTAATTCCTCGATATAACCGAAATTATTACTTATTAAAAGCCAATCCACGTGTTTAGATTCGAACGCCGTCCCTCTCAAGATTGTGTTGCCTATCAGTCGCCAGGAGTCGCTGGTGTATTCGGTGATCCTCACATTGTGACGTTTGATGATCTTCAGTATACCTTCAATGGAAAAGGTAATAAATGAATTAGTTTTAATGACGTCATCGTTAACAAACTAAATATAACGTAACTGAAATTCAAATCATTTATTTCAATTAGACCTATTAAAAATCCACATTTGAAAGTCAAAACTACAAGTTAAAAATATTTAAAAAAATATGTCTCTACTTGCCCCTTTTATCATATGACCTGTCAAAAGCAACAATGTATTCTGCTACACGAATACAGAGACCCGCTAGATTTGTTTGATACACAATACTAGAACTGGTAATAAGAAAAATATTTTGCTAAAAACTAAAATGCTTACAGCTAATATTCTTACCCAAAATCTTCTTATCAAAACTTTAAGCTTGGAATATAACTATTAAAAATAATGCCCAGAAATTTATTTCTTATACAAATTGAACTTTTTGTGAATTGTAAAAAGTCAATAGATACGAATTTTCTCAAGAATCGATTTAATAGTCGTGTCGTTCCAGGTGAATACGTCTTGGTGAGGGTTGATGAACCTCAGTTAAAATTGGATGTTCAAGGACGATTTGAGCAAGTATCGAGGAACATATACGGGCCAGTCAATGCTACACATATAACATCTATTGTCTCCGCTTCTAATAATTCAGTTCCTATTGAAGTAAGTCATTAATCAAAAAACTTATCAGTATTAATAATGGACAGGTTAATTAAGTTGCCGAAATGTCTACCCCATGCCTTTAACTAAATTTTGAAACTCGAGAATTAAATGTGGAAAAAGGAAGATGTAACAATGGCGTGTTTCATTGATTATTATTGTCGAAAGTCACTTATGTCACAAATTGTATATATATACGACTTTTAATAAGGATTTTAAATTCTAAAAATTATAATTAATTTTCAACACACAAATATACAGTATTTACAATATTCTTAACCTGACCTTACTAATTAATAATAAATTACATAATAATAATAATTTAAAATTGATAATTAGAAATTTAAAAGTTTAGTTCCTGTGGCACACTTTTTTGCTGGCATTTCCTTGCTGTATTTAATAAATAGTATATCTAAACAAAAAAATAATTTATAATTTTTCATGCAACAGGTGCGTCTTCGGCCACAGCACTCACAATGGCGCTACCGTTTAGATGTCTTCGCTGATGGGAAACGTATCTTCTTCGACCGGCCAGCTCTTCGAGTTCAATACTTCCCAGGTAAATAAACACACCAAGAGAGTCTTATATCAGTTTTATTCAAACTCTAGTTGTACCCAGCCGTTTTGCCTGAGTTATTACGTACGTATATAGATGTTATATAGCCCTCATTGATAAATGGACTAAAATGTTTTAAACTAGACTAGACTTCGAACAACTTTTCTTTTGATAATTTTTTAAGTGCTTGTTCATTTTTTTGGAAAAAAATTTCGGGCTCCTTTGTTGCCCCGAGGAACCTCTAAATCCGGGCCTGTTTGTAAGCAATTTCGATGTGGTTTATTCAAAAACCACCATCCTTATGCCACCTTGGCATCACGCGGTACAAAGCCTTAATCTTGATGTCGGGACCACCATCGCTGTTCGGCGTTACAGAATACTGGCAAGCATCGTTATCCATGCTAACATGAATGTATCGTGGTTATAAAATTCATTCTTTCTCAGGTGTGACAGTCTATCAACCTATGTACATTCTCAACCAATCGGAAATCGTTATTATGTTTTCTTCCGGGGCTGGTGTCGAGGTTGTTGAGAATAAAGGATACATGACTTCTAGAGTATATCTGCCTTGGACTTATATGGTAAGGCAACATATAAGAAATCGGAAATAATAGTGAAAAAATCAATAAAAAAGTTTCCCAATGTTGGGCCCACGCCCCACAGGTGGGCATTTGATTATTAAGGGGGGCAATTCTAAAATGGATTCGACGTTTTTCATGGTTCTGTAAATTTATTTACTGTGTTTCGTTAACAATTTTCTCTTAAGTGAAAAATTCAAGTTTTATATTAAAAATTATGTAGTTACTTGGGGGACATAAGAGTTTTAGAAAGGCTAAAGTGGGGGGCATGGGACAAAAAGGTTGGGAAACACGGCATAAGTCGAATAAGTATTTTTAAATAGATTAGTGAAAACTACAATTTGTATTTAAAAAATGTTTCTTCTCTTTCTTGGAAGTGATCATGATCGCTGTCATTTTCATATATTTTAAAAGATATATAGACACTTATTACTTATTATTACATTATTTGGTTGGAAAATGCTTTCTGATGTGGTCTACTGTGATAAATAAATAAAGAATGGTGAGTTAGGCTTAAATTGTGGTGAATCTTTGTGCAGAGAAGCGAATGGCTTTAAAACTTTGTTCATTTATTTATGTGACAAATCGTTTCGCCTTATAATTTTTATAATTTCTAGTATTTCAAACAAACTGTTATAGAATCGAACACGAGGATTATTCGGAAATTGGTCACTGGATGTCAACGATGACTTCATGAGACCGGATGGAACTTTGGCAGCGGTCGATCTCAACAACTTCCAAAGTGCACATCGAGAGTTTGCTCAATATTGTAAGTGTAATATAGAAAATGTCTGATGTAGGTTAATAGTAGGTTGGTCCTTCTCCTCAAAGGTATATAACTTATACATAATAGAGGAACTGCGGCATATTTGGAATTAATAAATTTAAAGAAAAACGGAAAAGCTCAATAAAAATACTTTAAATTAAGCTTTATTAATTTAAAAAAAACAAAAAGCTAATCAAAATGCCTATGAAATTAAAAACCCAAAAAACGTGATTTGACATGGGGTGGTAATTTGGGATATAGCATTCTAAAAATATTCACATTTTTTCTTTAGCAAAAGCTAACACATTCCTTAGAAACTAATATATTTTTTATCTTTGTGATAGCTGTATAATTCTTAGTTATCAAAACAAAAACAAATAATTTAAAAAAATAAAAATGCTGATTCTTGCAACACATTAAAGAGCTTTTACATTATTCAAATCTGTATCCAGTGGATTGTTCCCAGACTTCAGTATCCCAAGTATAATGTGTTCCTAACCTAATAAAACCATTGGTTATTAATATAACCATTTTAACTTTTCCAGGGCAACTCACGGATCGAGAACAAAAAGATATAGGAGTCGCAATGTTTACACGTGAATATGGACGAACGGCAGCTTACTACAACGATAACCAATTCATACCGAACTTTATAAAGGAACCAGCTAACTTCTTACCAGCAAACCGGTCGCAAGATGTCGCTAGAGCTATCGAAATATGCCAAGATTCTTATCAGTGTCGATATGATTATGGAATGACCCTGAATAGAGACATGGCTGAGTTTACGAAGAATTATTTGGCATCTATTGTAAGTAGCGTCCTTATATTTATTTATTAGATAGGCAATTTATTTTGGCAAGAAAAAATGAAGTCATTAGAATGTATAACCAGAAATTGTTTGATATTTTGTGATATAATAATAATAATAATAATAATAATAATTTATTTATTGCAAGAATATGGTACAAATGCTAAGGTGATACAATCATAAATCGTTCGCATATTCTGCCACACACGATGGCGCGCAAATTCGTCCCAAAGAATTTTACAATATTATTTAAAGCCAATTCCTATATTATCCAGCCTATTATATTATATACATTTCATCATTCTAGACGGAAGATCTTTTAATTCTTTTGGTAATTTATTGTAGACTTTAATTGCCATATAAAAGCTGTTTTTCCGAAACAGTTCCAGATTGATTTTTGGCACAGCCAAATTCTTCCCATGTCTACTTCTTACTTCAACTTCTACATTCGACTTAAAAATATGTATGTTTCTGTGCACGAATAAGGATATCTCTAAAATATAAATACATGGAAGAGATAAAATTTTGAGCTTCTTAAATAAAGGTACGCAACTATCAAGACAGTTTGCTCCACAAATTGCTCTAATACATTTCTTTTGAGCCTTAAATACCCTATTTACTTCGACTGAATTTCCCCAAATTATAATTCCATATCTAAGTATAGATGAAGCATATGCATGATAAGCAGCTAATACCGTAGCATGGTTAACAGTTTCCCTTAGTCGCTTTAACACAAAAACAAAACTGTCTATTTTGTTCTGTAATTTTTCAATATGTGACTTCCAACTACAAAATTTATCTATCGTTATACCTAAAAATACACACTCGTTCATTATGTCTAGTTTATTGCTTTTATATTGTAAGTCTAATTGTGTTTTAGAGTTATATGTCTGAAAATGGAGTATGTTAGTTTTGGTCATGTTTATTTGTAGATTATTGGAATTCATCCAGTTAATGGCGTCGTCTAGAGATTTAATTAAATTGTTTTTTAAGTCTTGTTCGTTTTTACTTTTTATTATAAGTGTAGTGTCATCAGCAAATAGTATACAGTTCTGGTGTATAGCATCTGGAAGGTCATTTATGTATGTTAGAAAAAGTAGCGGGGCCAAAATACTGCCTTGAGGTGTTCCGTACTCATTTTTCTTAAAATTGGATCTATAGGTTTTTTGCTCTAGTTTACAAATCTTTGTTATTTCCACATACCTATTGCATTCTATTTTCAAGGTAACTTTTCACCCAGTTATAAGCATTACCTCTTATTCCGTAGCAATCTAATTTTTTTAAAAGTCTTTCATGACATACAAAGTCAAAAGCCTTTGTCATATCTAGAAAGATGCAACCTATAAGCATTTTATCATTTAAGCATTCAGTAATTTGTTTGACTAGGGAAAAGCACGCAAGGGTGGTAGAACAATTTTTTCTGAAACCAAATTGTTCTTTTTTTAAAATATCGTATGATAAAAAGAAATTCTCTATTTTATTATACATTACTTTTTCGAAAATTTTAGATTATATGGGAATTAAAGTTATTGGTCTATAATTAGTCATTTTTGTTTTTGCTCCTTTTTTATTTAATGGTTTGATAATTGATATTTTTAGTTTTTCAGGAAAGATTCCTTCTACTATCGATAGATTAATTATGTATGTCAGTGGATCAAGTAGGTATAAAGCGCATGATTTAATTGTTTTGGTATCTTAATTATCGTATCCTGTAGATTTTGTATTTTTTAGCGATGTAATAATTTTTAATATATCCGTGTTATTTATGGGGAAAGAAAAATACTTTTATGATTTAGAGGGATTTTGGCTTCTGGCAAATTGTTTGTTTTATTTTTTGTAGGCAGTGAGGTAAAATAGTCATTAAATAAGTTGCATATTTCATGTGGTGATTCATATTATGTTTTGCTATCAATATTAATTGCTTCTATTCCTGAATAAAATGTCATGTCTCGTGTATTTGTTTTAATTACATTCCAGGCTGCTTTAGTTTTGTTTTTTGCGCAATTTATGTATTCTACATTAGTAAGCTGATGGGACTTATGTATACATTTTTTTAAAATAGATGAGTATTTATTATATGCAGATTTATTTTGTTTTTTATTGTGCTTATTTAAATGATATTTTAGGTATAACGTTCTTTTTCTTATAGAACATTTTTTTAGCGCTTTAGTAAAGAATCTATTTTTGATAGGTTTGAATGTATTTTTAATTTTTAAGATCGGAAAACATAAATTGTAAAACAAAGTTATAGTGTCATGGAAGTTGTCGAATGCTTCATTTGTTGTGGTGGAGCTGTATACGTCCGAGAAGGTGAGGCTTGATAGACACCTAATAAATGTATTAGTGTTTTCCCTATTGAGTTCTCGTCTGTATATATACCAGTATTTTGGAATATCTTTAAAATTTTCGTTTTCTTCGAGTGTAAAAAAAGTCAGCGATTGTGCGGTCTCATGGTCTGAAAGTGCCAAGTAGTGGAGGTCCGAGTGTGTGTCATTTATGTTACTTGCTATTAAGTCTAAGCAGGAGTTTTTCCGTGTTGGGTGCTTTACATGATTTTGTAAATTATTATTTTGAAGAATAGAGATAAGTTCGCGGGAACTTTTATTATTTTTTAAAATGTCTACGTTCCAGTCTCCACATAATATTAGTTTTTTGTTGCGTTTCCTGCATAGGTTACTTAAAAGTTGTTCTAAATTATATAAAAAACCTGTTACATCTAAAGTAGGAGTCCGGTAAATACATATTATTATTAAGCTGTATTTACTTATTTCAACGCCACAATATTCGAATTGGAGAGGAATTGGGGGTCTAGGGTAACAAATTTCCTTGTATTTCAAATTGTTTTTTATTAAGATGCACGAACCTCCTCGGCGTTGATTAGGCCGAGAATATGAAGAGACTAATCTATAATTATTTATTTTAACGTTGGATTCACTTCCTTGTTTAATAAAAGTTTCTGTGAAACATATGATGTCCACACTTCCCAAACTTCCTTGCAGGTCCGTGATGGCTACACTAACTAAATCCTGTTTGCTAAGCAACCCTGCTATATTTTGATGGAGTAATCTTAATTTATTTTGCTTATTAGTTGTTCCGAAAAAAATTACAATATATTCTACATACTATTATATTCTTAGTACTTCTGATAGTTAAACTATGATTGTTTGAAGTGGCACCTCCCGAATTATTAACGCAAGTTTAGTAAAGCGGAATTCGGGTTTTATAACGTACCCGCCCTGTATCACGCCCAGTAGGCCTCCTTTCCACTTCCCATGTTAGGCAATCCTTTAGAGTGTGGAGCCCATAATCAACAACGCCGGCGTCACAATGATGAGGTTGATGCCTCCTCACGACCGAAAGTAAGCACCTTAAGTATAATCGCTGCTGAAACAGCTATGTCCGGACAGAATCTGTACGAGTAGCTGTAGGTAGCGGTAGCTGCACACCCATTTCTCGAGCTGTGGTCTGAACGCGTTGATGGTGTAAAACCTGGAGCTCGCACCAGCCAGTTCCTCCGCCCTGTGTCTTATTGCTTGGTTTTCTTCGGCACTTTTCCAAGCCTTGATTGCTCCGAGGTCATTACCATTGTGCCTGGATTTGGCTCTCATCCAATAAACTTCGCTCAAGGCATCCGCTTCGAGGTGTCAGAGTGTGGGCTATAACACACACTGCGTCATAAGAAACCGTGCGGTACGCCCTCGCGACCCTAATGGCGATTACTCCCTGCGACTGCCTGATAATAGTTTTTTTGTGCCGGTTTAGCTTATCCGCCCATATTGGGCACCCGTATAATGCATTCGCCCACACTATATGGCGTATAGGCGGCGACACCCACACCCGGCCGGTTTGGCATTATGCGTGTAAGCGTGCGTGAGTAATATGACCACGTTCTGTTCAACCTGGAACAATGATTCTCTACGGAATTCGAACCCTGGGCACGGACTTACGTAGAGTATCTCGTAGAGTACGCATGAGGTAATAATGCTAAGTTGTACACTTTTTATTACTGAACGTGGGAAAATCTATACTGTCATCTACGCAATTTGTTGTATGTCAAATTACCATTGAATGAATCATTAAACATACGTTAATTAGCCAAACTTCCATATTCTACGACACGACGACGGTCCAGTTTCAGTGAAAATGACCAGACCAAATCAAATATCTTTGGGATGGGTATAACGCTGTAGACCCGAAAATTGCGTTTTAGGAGAATTCTCGTTAAACCATTTTTTTGAAAAATCAAAAATTAGTAACACGAATTTAATAAAGTTATTTAGTTTAATTTTATAACAACACAATTGAAACAGGTACATAACACTAATTATGGACTTGACAAATCAATATAAATTTCACACTACAGAAATATAACTTGAGAAATCTCCGCATTTTGGGAGGAAATACCGCGTTATATAGTGGACGGAAACCGCGTTATACGAAAACGCTTTATAGGGGTACCGTATTATAGGGGGGTTACTGTAAGTTTGTATAATGTAAATAAAACAAATACTTTATTCAACATTTTCGATTAGTTTTTTTTTTCACTACTTTCAAGACGACTATTTCTGAAGCTATAATGAAAAATCCATTGCAACATTTGAACACAAGGAGATTATATGGGACACGATGTGACTAGGCTAATCCACAACTCATAAATTTTCCTAGGGTATTTGTAATTTTACGTGATGTAAATTGATACCGTGACACACATTTAATTGTCCTTTGAATATATCAAAAGACTCCCATTGTTCTTTTAATTATGGGGCTTCACCAAGGTTTTATACGAATGCTTTAAAATTCAGTTTCTCACGGGCCGTTGCAATGAAAATTGCATTTATGTGATGAAAATTTTACTGTGTATTTTGTTTTAGACTAACATTAAGGAAACCAATGCTCGGCGAGTTATCAGTTGCGGTATTCTGGAAACACCTCGGTTTGGACGAAAGAGTAACTTCTTCTTCACGCCTGGAACAAGGGTAAATATTTCAGCGATTTCGTATTCTACTCATTATAACTTTAATTGTATGATTAAAGATCTTCTGAGGCTCATAAACAAAACTAGCAGATTTTTTTCATTATATACTCTGTTATAAATTAATAAATCGATTAAAAATTAAGCGTTATTAATTCTTTAGGTAAACTTCGAATGTAATCAAAACTTCATATTAACCGGAGACAAGCGCAGAGTCTGCGAAGAGAACGGCAGGTGGAATCTTCCGGACTACGGTTACACCGAATGCTTACGTGAGTCTTTTAAAATATACTTTTACATAATATGACTTATATAGTATATAACAATACTTACAAATACTTCTAATACCAGGTAACCAGGAATACTCACAACAAACGCTGTTCCTTACCTGGGGCATCATAGTGGCAATTATTGTACCGTTGGCTCTGATAATTTGCCTTTGCTGGTTTTGGTGCTATTACAAACCCAAAACAGAAGGCAAAGAAGGCTTCCGCTTCGAGAATATACCGCGATCGAAATCCGCATCCCGTCTTAGTCTTAGATCACATTCAATGGGGAACATCACCGATACAATGAAATCATCAACTTTACATAGTCAGTATTCAGATAAACCAAAAACACCGGGCACCCCAACAGAAGAACCTATTAAACCCCTTATAGGAAGATCAGCCCCACCTCCTCCCAACGAACCCTTAGATGGTGAAACCTCTGGCATAGGCTACACTGACTCAAACAAAAGCGATTCCAATAAATCTGATAAACCGTCTAGTTTAAAAAAACGTAGAGGTTACGATAAGACTTATAGAACAAATGAACCTTTAGCAAATGCTCCAGAAGTTGAGTTCCCTGAGAAACCTTGGGATTTATCTGAGGAAGACTTATTGTCGATAACGTCCCCATCTGACTCTGAGTCTAATAGAGATTCAACACTTACCCGCCCAGCTAAGGATATAGAGTTCCTGAAGCCCCGTCAAACTGGACGGCGTCTCCTTCCCAGCGAGTCTGGTTATTCTACAAAGGAATCAGAAGATCCATATTCCCCTAAATACGATGGGCAAATTAGTCCTATCTCATCTCATTATTCACCTACTTATTCTGAAATCTATTCGCCCCCTATAAGTCCGACATCCGATATAAGTCCCAGGAATACTTACAATAATCCTGGATTACCAGAGCCCCCAAAGAGTGCTCCGGCAACTGAAATAAAAACGTTCACTCTTCCACCACAAAGAGGCAAATCTGTTGAAACATTAATTGATCCACCATCTTCAGAAATGCCTACATTTAGTAGTAAGTCTACTATGGTATAGTTTTATCTAGTTCCATCCCACTGAACAAATAACATTAAGCCTAATTTAGTATTACTATAGGAAGCCAAGTATGACAATAGGAGATTGGCTTAGATAATTGTTGATGCACGATTTAATTTAATTATGCACTTTAATGTAAAATCGTGGTGTGATGTTCCCCAATGATGTTGTTAATGTTTTTGAAATTTTATCAAAATGTAAAATATAATAAATTGTTTTAAAAATTTTACTAACACAGAGCGAGAGAATTTCTGTTCCGACGGTAGAATAATTTCACTATGACCATATGTTTTATAAGGAAGCAAGGATCAAGTTTGAATAGAAATTTTCTCGGTCATGTGGTCCTTTTATTAGTACCCACACTTGATACTTGCTTTCTTATCAGTTTTATCTCAATGTAAACAGTGAAATTGGAGCATACAATGAGGTGAGTTACAGATTTGTATCTAGATAAAATTGTTAACCAACCAAGTAGGACATTACACATAAAAGAACAAACATTTCGTAGTAATGCCAATTTAATTAAAAGTCATTCCATTATATAAATAGACAGTAAACATTATACATATACATTTTAATTAATTAACTTAACTTAATTTTTTTTTTAATTATAAAGTTCACAAAAAAGAGTGCGACTTTACAGGAATTACAATCTAGCCTATACAATAATTATGGCTAATAAGTAATATTATGTTGACTAAATTTTGTACAATACTAATATATTTTCATTAGCTTAAGGTAATGTTCATTAACAGATTTAGTGTTCTTTAATGATTAGACACTATGTTCGTGTGTCCGAATTCAGAATTATAATTATAATAACTTATAACTATTATTTGTTTATTTGATCAGAGCTGAATTAAAAATAAATTTAATAAAACACTATTTTGACCGGATTGAAGTTATGTATTATTATAAATTTACAACTATTTAACATAATTTTAAATTTATCCGACGTTTCGCGTGCTTTACAGCGTGCGTGGTCACGGTGACCACAAAATAGTGTTTTATTAAATGAATAAAAGTTATGTTAATCAAAGACAATACTATAAAAATAAATTCTTACAGCCCTAATCTTAAATGGCGTAGACTTAGATTAGGTACATATTCTTTTAGGTCGTCATTTAATTGTCATTATAATAAAACACTTGATTTTCAAAGTGCTCATGCATTTGCTAATTTAATGTCATCAGGTAACCAAGAGTACTCACAAAGGACCCTCGGTGCGACATGGGGTATTATAAGTGCTGTGATGGTACCAATCGCTATCATCATGATCTGTATCGGATGGAGAATCCTACTGAGAAAGAAGGAAGAAGAGAAAGAGGAGCTTGCTTATCTAGAAAAGTGAGATATGTTTGTTATTTAAAACATTTAGCGGATTTACATTCCAATTACAGGGATTATTTTCTGCTTGAACAACTCTAAAAATCTGGTCCCGACGTAAAATTTATAGCACTGATTATGTAATCTATTATTATTCATTTTTATAAAAAAATATCTTACATACATGCGTTTTCAAATGTAGACACAGGTGATAAAATAGTGCAAACGTTATAATGATATTTTCAGGAGCCGACAAATCGATCCTGATGACTCTGTCAAAATTAACTCTGATGATGATTCAATTCCTTATAAAAAAGACGTGACTGAAGACAGTCCTGAGCCCACAGAGCCTATGCAAAGTTTCGCTTACGGACAACAAGCCCAAGGATACCAAGGATATCAGGAATCCCCTCAGGAATACGCTTCTGAATCGCCTCAGGCGTACGTCCAAGAACCTCAGCGGTATCCCGAAGGTCCTCAACAGACTTTTACCCCTAACCGACCACAAGCCGTGCAAAATATTCAACAGCCAGGAAGTCAATGGAGTGGCGAAACGGAAATAAATTAAAGTTTATAGTTAGAACTTAAACATTATTTTAGCTAAAAGTATGACTTTTTTATTTAATATTATTTTCTACTACTAATTAAAACTAATTATTATAACTATTAATATTACACATTTAAATCCAACTAATTAAAATGATATAAACGCTAATCACGATTGGTAATTTTTTTTAAATAATATATTAAATTCGCGTTTAAATCTGTAAAAAAAATTTGTTACTAGGAACCTTCGTATTTTGTTGTTGTAACCAATTGTTGATGTATGTCAGTTTATATATTTTTGGTTAATACCCGAATTAGTGACATTTCAAACTAACATAATTGTAATTTATATTTAAATTGAATGATTATTTTAAATTGATCCCACCTTGATTTATCTTGATGTCAGTTAGATTCGTTAGATTCATGACAATCTAAAATATGCTAATTTAAGTAGGTAAAATATGTTTCTTAGATTAGATATCACCTTTATTATTATTTTCTTTTAATACTACCTGTGCTATGTGTTATAGACGATTTTTACTGTAAGTAGAAATTATTGAGTTTGAAAAATTATACTAATAATTAAAAATAAAATTGTTGTACTCATTTACCGTCGTCCATTGATATTATATTCTAAGTACATTTTTTAATCTCAGTATATTACCTCCATACGCTTTACAAATAGGTCGCTGTCTTGCGAAGAGTCGAGAAAACTATTAAGGTGCGAGGGCAAGCGGGGAATGGGAGCTTGTAGACGCTGGACTGTGCGAGTCGAATTCACAGCAAAAGGTTATGTTTCCGGAAGTGGTGATAAGTGTCCGGAACGTATAATCTCATAATCTCTCCCAGCAAGTTTACGCTTTCCGTCTCTTTTATTTTTTTAATCATGGCAATAGTTAACCTTGATGCCAGTTTCAAGTAAAAGGATGGGAAACTACACGTTCGAAAAAATAATCAGACATCAAAAGGAAATAAGGGGTTAAGCTAGTTAAAAACAAAATATGTACATAAACATATTACATCTTAATATTATTATTGATTATGAAAGAAGAGTCTCGTTACGGTTATTAATTATCATCAAACAAAATTTGATTTCACACCACATAACATAAGCTTTTTGGCATTATGTACCCACAAAAAAACCAATATTCTAAATATAAGCAATATAAAAGTCCTTCAATTCATGTATTTTCTATCGTAAATATTTTTTTCGTGAATAAATAAAAAATGATGCGGTAAAGAGTTAAGTTCGTTAATAATTATACTGATTACTGACTAATGACATACATTCAGTTAAAAAGATATACCTACTCCTAAATGACAGCAGCGAATTGACATGACTTGACACTTGACAGTGGTTTGTTGTTATTTACTTCACTTTGTATTATAACTTTTGAGTTTTGGTTCCTTCAGAGTTCCGACCTAATATTAATGATTTTAGGTAAATAACTAAAAATTCTATGTTTTTAAAACCAAATTGATGATCTCACTATATTTTAAATTAAAATGATATACAAGTATTAAACCAGAGGATATTTTATAAACTTGTGATAAATCGTCAAGGTATTCACGGATACTTAGGTACGGTTTGTACTTTCATTATATTTTTTAGTTTGTTTGTGCATAACATTATTTAAATTGAATTTATTATCTATTTACATTATTTTCATATTATATTACTGGCCCCCTTTGTAAGAAACGCTAAAATAACTTTGAATATATAAATTCTTAGGACTTTAACGGTCACTAAGTAGCATTAAGTATGTAAATTGTTGTCTGCTTTTGTAGGTTGACGCCAAGATGACTATAATTTATTGTCAGGAAGAATGAAGAACTGCTCCACAGACGTATCAATGCAATTCTTCTTTTTTCGCCTACAACAAACAATATCCAGAAAATGTTGTGAAAAATGAATTTAACATCAAAAAATGTTTTTTCCTGCTTATTTCTTCGACCCTGGCTAGGTGTACCACTTGGACTTTGGATTGCTGTTTCAGTTATTTATTATTGGTGGTTAATTTCAAGAATTAATATACTTGAAACACAAAATGTTGTGTTTAAGAAACAACTTCAAATATCTCATTCTGTTATGCGTCAATTGTCTGCAGATACTGAAGTAACATATAGTGTTCCTGAGGTAAAGAAAATTACAATCTTTAGACTATAAACAATCAAAGTTATTTAGTTTAAGTTTCTTAATTAGAACACATTAACATACTCCAAACTAAGGGATTAGGGAACAAAATATGATTAAAAATGTTTATTTTCAATTACAGATAGCCGATGTTGCTGGCACAATATGTGAAACCGTGCATGTAGCCCTTGTCTGCATGGGTAAATGTTCTAGGAATATCACTCCAATGCTTAAGTCTCTCCTTCACCATCGACAAAATCCATTACACTTTCATATAATAGTTGATAACATGTCTGAGCATACAATTAGTACACTTTTTGATATGTGGGATTTGCCCGATGGTGAGTTGAAAGAAACTTTATATAAATAAGATAGTGTATAAGTTAAAGAATTAGTTGACATAAAATAAATTTTGTAATTAATTCATATGGAACAAAAAATGAAGTGTTAAATTGCTTTCTAAATTGAATAATTAACATTTACTGCATGAACACATACATAGTTCCTGACCTTGGCAAGTTCCTGCTGTATTAGAAATTGATATTGTTTTTATTAGTGAATATTTATAGATTTTATATAAAAACAATCCAATTTGTTACATCATACACAGTACATAATAAAATACAGTATTATGTAGGTATTCAGTCTTCATCATAAAAGTTTAAAACTTTGACTCAGTACAGTCAGTTTTGTATAAACAATGGGGTTTGTTGCAATGAACCGCCTAATACATTTATTAGCTTTGTTATAATGATAATTTTTTTAGAATTACTTAAAATATATGACATTAAAAAAACTTTCTTTACATAAATCAATGGTGCTACAACCGTTTTAGGTCTGGGCCTCAGATTTCTGTATCTGTTTCATGATCATTTGTCAATCTAATAGGCTAGAAGGTGATCGGCCTTCTGTGCCTGACACACGCCGTCAACTTTGTGGGCCTAAGGCAAGCCGGTTTCCTGGCGATGTTTTTCGTCGCCGTTCGACCGAATGTTAAATTCCATTGGTCTTTAGCTGAAGACCGAACCTATGACCTCAGGGATGAGATTCGCACGCTGTAGCCACTAGGCCAACACTGCTCTTTTAAAAAAATTTCTTTACAGTGAAATATACTTCGTACAATGGCCAGGACCGTCTAGCTGAAGTCCGTTGGATTCCAAACAGTCACTATTCAGGAATATATGCACTAGTGAAATTGTTGTTTCCTAGTATCTTGCCAAATAGTCTTAGACAGGTCATAGTTCTCGATGCAGATTTGACCTTTCTGTGTAATATAGCGGAGTTGTGGAGTATGTTCAGGAATATGACTGGTGATCAGGTAAATTATAAATTCTATTGCAAGCCTCAGTTGTTTCAGAATGATCTAATTGTCTCTGATTTAAGTGAGGACTGCAGATATATAAACTTTAACAAAACAATGTTGCCATTTAAACAATTGTTTCGTTTTAACATGTTACAATTGTAATATAAAAGAAATATCAATTAACAATTGCTGATAAGCACTTGAAACATAAGAGTATTTAAATAACATAATATATTCGTGTTTATATCTTTTTGATAATAATATAAATGATGTAATTGTCAAATATAAAACACCATTGCGATTTAAGTAACAAGAAAAAGCTTTAATTAGAGCAGACTGAGACGCAAAAGTTAGTAAAATTTGACAAATCTTTATAAAGTGACATGTCAAATAATAATTTGTCAATCAGTTTATAGGTCTTGTAGAAAACGAAAGTAATTGGTATTACGATAAAACAAAGCGTTGGCCAGCTTTAGGGCGTGGCTACAACACGGGAGTAATGTTGTTGAATCTCCATAAACTACGTACGGTCACGGATTGGACGTTCGTATGGCATGATACGATTAATGAGAATCTTGCGCAGCTCCAACAGACAACGTTGGCTGATCAGGTATAGTATGCAGTTATATTTATCTACATTTTTATATTTGATTGCAGCACAGCTAGTAACAAAATATGCATGTTTCTTTTTGTGGAAAATCACAGTATGTACGATGAGTAGAAGTTATAGTCAAATTTTATAAAAATACTAGCTGACCCGGCAAACGTTGTTTTGCCATGTACACTATTTCTAGGAAATTTTTTAGTTCAACAAAAATAACTAAGTATCTACTATAATAAAAAATGTTGTATGTATTTTTGTATGCTGTATCATAAAAAAATAAAAACAAAAGTCAAAAACATAAAAATTTAGGGGTGGGAGCACCCTTAACATTTCGGGGGATGAAAAATAAATGTCCGATTCTCAGACTTACTGAATATGCATAAAAATTTCATAAGAATCGGTCGAGCCGTTTCGGAGAAGTATGGGAACGAACATTGTGACACGAGAATTTTTTTATATTAGATTATATGCTAACCTTTTGTAATATTTATTTAAAACTTTTATTTTGATGTCTTTATTAATAACATATGAAAAGTTCCTCAGTGCTGGTATTCCGTAACTCAGCGATTCCAAAAAGTTATATAGTACTCCCCTCCCACAGATACTGTATGTTTCCTTAATACTTTTTCGTAATCGATTACCAGCCTCCTGTTGACTAAACAGATTAACGCATATAGACAATTCTTTTGGTGTATATATATTATTTAAACATATATTAGGTTCATCTTTTAAAGTTATTATTTTCAGGATGTAATAAACGCAATAATAAAGAAAAATCCAAATTTTGTATACAATATAAGTTGTCAGTACAATGTTCAGATGTCCATGAAGACATTGGCAAAGGGCTGTTACGGCGAAGATGTCAATAATGTTAAGGTAATTCATTATTATTTATTGATTTTCTAAATATAATGGCTAAAGTCTCTGCAATAGAAAATTTCTAGTCATGTTCTGTTGAGTGTATGTTAATATTTTTATAACTCAATATATCTGAATGTGTTTTTCAATACCAATTTTTATTTGCTATGTGTTTCTTGGATTTATGATAATATGTTGATTGGTCCAACAAAACCTTAGGAACCATGGTACGAAGTATGAATTGTCATTTTTGCTATGACCGTATTAAATTGAAAAGTTATCTTAATTTAAGTAATATTTAATTTAAAATATTATTTGATTTCCTTTCTAGATAATCCATTGGAACTCCCCAAGCAAATATAATGTAAGAATAAGGGATTCGGAGTATTTCAAAAACATTCATTTGTCTTATGTTAATTTTGACGGAAATCTTTTGAGGGAAAAACTGCATAGGTGCTCTGAGACTGAAGTTGTTACTTACAAGGTGAGGTAGAAAAAAATAAAATGTGTAATTAACATATGTGTGATATTATGAGTACTCGCGTGACGGTTGCTCGCGGCGCAACTACCTACATAGGCTCCGTGCTGTCTTTCTTTTAAAAAAATACTACTTGTGATCAATGCGACTTTAATAAGTGTTAAAACGTCTAATAATACTACAAAGTAATAGATAAATGTATAGTCAGTGCTCAAGAGAACGAAACACATCAGGTTTTTAAAGTGTTTTAACGAGGCTTCAACTGACGTGCCACGCTTTCAACAATCAAACGGATTCATGACACTGTTGCATTTTTGTGAGGTTGTGACGTCTAGTGCTAAAAGTGACTAAATTGTCTTCTGAAAAATCTTAGTGCAAAACGAAATACAAATATTAAACAGATATTAGTCATCCATATGAACTGGTTACAAAATTATCTACTATACCAAACATTGGTTCAGTTCATCATAATCTCAGATAGCCACTTATATAAGGGTATCGACTAAGTGATAAGCGGTCCAAGTTCGAGTAATCTGACTTACACTATTTATGGATTTTATTTGCTCCTGCAAAACATTATTTCACGTATGTATTTAGTTAGGATTGTTCATATTGAAGTTTTCTTTTAAAAAAGTTCTTTTCTGAAGTTTAAAGAACGCGGTTTATAATTGGCCTAAATCTATAACTAAAAGAAACCTCCGCCATTTAAAGAAAAGTCATTTAAAAATTATGAATTAAACATGTTTTTTCTTATATTTTATACAATTTCATAAATATCGCTATAGCCGTTTATGTGGGAAACATATCTGTTAATTAACATTTTTCAGATGAATCATTCGGATCTATGTCTAAGTTTTCGCGCGGCACAACGTGTCAAACTGCGCACTCACCTCTATTACATGGACTACAGCTACTCTAGTGTCGATGGTTTTGACGTCACTCTAGTACTGCAATTGTCTATGGACAGACTGCAGTTCTTGGAACGACTAGTCAAATATTGGGACGGTAAGCATAAATATATAATATTGTATGAGTTATTTATCAGATATAAATTTATATTTTCGATGCAGGACCCCTCAGTGCTGCCATCTATTTGTCGGATTGTGAAGTGACGAAACTGGAAAGCTTCATTCGTGATTGGTCTGAAACCCTAAGCTTTCGGAGGAACATCGGATATCATCTTGTTTTCAAACATGATTCGGTAATTATGATTCATATTTATTATTATTTTTCATAAGTACAAATTTATTAAATAAAAAATTATTCTACTGTACTTTACGAGTATTTTAAAAATTATTTTATAGATTACTAACTGACCAGGCAAACGTTTGTTTTGCCATGTATATTATTTCTAGGAAACATTTTTTTAGTGCAATAAAAATAACTATCTACAATAATAAAAAATAGAGGTTGATACTTGATTGTAGAGGGGTGAAATAAATTACCTAATAATATATAAATAAAACCTATCATTTAAGTTTCTTAAGTGAAGCTTTTTTTAATATAATAAAAATAATGTATGTTGGGCATTGGGCACAAGAATTTTAGAAAGGCTAAGGGAACGGCTCAAAAGTTGGGAAACTAGTCTAACCGATAATAATTCATATAAAAGTATTATTTTGAATGCTTACTGTATTTTTGGTTCGAAATCGAGCAAAATCAATACAGAAGTACACGTAAATGAAACTTGAAAATTATTATTGTTTTTATTTCTTTGCCCTTTTTAAACATATTAATATCACCTATAGGTGCATTACCCAGTGAACTATCTCCGTAACGTGGCTCTCGAGAATGTGAATACGCCCTATGTTTTCCTTATGGACGCCGACTTCGTCCCGATGGCCGGCCTTTATGCCCATTTGAGAGCCGCTATTAAGTTGATTAACCCGTATCCACAGAAAAAGGTATTTTTGGCGTAGATAATAGAATCATTTCGTGCTCTACTATGTGTAGTTCTTTTGTTGCCTCTGGTTTCATTGTTTCTTTATTGACATGTTTTATTAATACACATCTAAGTTATTTACACAATTGCCTATAGATTAAATTCTATAAGAAAGTTCACCCGACGTTTCCCTTGTTGTAATAAGTGTTTCGAGCCGGAATTCGAACACACGACTTCAAGTTGCGCAAGCTCACTATGAGGATTGAAAATTCAAGAATCATTATTCATTTAGGTAATACAATGTACACTTATGAACGTCAATAAAGCAATACATATTAAATGCTTCTAATTTTACAACAAATCAGGGGCGTAGAACGGACGAGAAGAACTGGCAATACTCTTCGCCATTCTTTTTAATCGCCAAGTTTTTTGTTTTACACAATGTTTGCAACCATTACACCATGTTCCACATGACATCTTAATTAATTAATAATAATAAAATAAATTAAAAACAAAGATCTGTCCTCTATCAGCAGGAGGCATGGTGAAATAGGAACACGCACTTACATTCTCGTGGGAACACCACACTATACATTTACCAATATATTTATTTAAAACGTAACAAATTTGACGACTGAAACCCATGTTCGTCTTATTAGAAACTATTTAAGAGACTTTATTATAAATAAGATATAATATACTAACTTAGCCATTCTAACTAAATGCCATATTTTTTTAATGTTAAATTAATTTTACCTCGGCTCCACAACATACACCTGCTTGCTTGAACCTTTTTTCATATCTCTCTTCAGTGCTTAGTAGTCCCAGCATTCGAGACACAGCGGTATCGTGCTTCTGTCCCACGGTACAAAGCCGCATTGTTGGCTCGGCTTTCGTCCCGAGGGGACGTGGGACCTTTCCGGGCCAGGGAATGGCCCAGGGGACATCGCGCTACCAATTATACGAGATGGGCTAACGCCACTGCGCCTTATGAGGTAAAGATTTGATTGAAATTCGCTTTTATTGATTTAAAAATATATATTTTTCAATACCCTATTATTTTATTGTGTTTAGAAATTGCAATCGCATCTTTATTGCTTGGTTATAAAATCCATTTTACTGTAAAGCTTTATTATTGATAGATTTTCAAAGGTATCATGAATAAAACTAAATTGGGGAAAAACTTGATGAAAAAAAGGTTTATAATAACTATTCAAGTTTATGTCAAGGTCCTAGACGAGACTAAAATGAATGCAGCTGTTTCATCATCGGACGTCGAGGCAGAATACGAAATTCCACTCGTATCACCTCGACGTCCGTCCTTCCACAACTGAGCGTCTCTTAAGGCCAGCTGAAGAACCAGCGGCCCCGAAGTATTTCCTAACGCATTCGACTTCCTTCAAGAAAAGAACGTACCGATTCTTAAAAGGCCGGCAACGCACTTGCGAGCCTTCTGGCAATGTGTGTGAGGGCGGCGTTATCACTTAACATCAGATGAGTCTCCTGCGCGTTTGCCTACTGTTACATAAAAAATCAAAGCTAGTATGTTTTTTAATTTTAGGTGGAATGGCAATCTGATTACGAGCCGTATTTAGTAGCACATAGATCAGTTCCTAAATACGATACAAGGTTCTCTGGATTTGGTTGGAATAAGGTAAGAAATTAATAGATTACCTTTATGGGTCTGTTCTCTGACTTCTTTTTCTATATTTTTTTGGCAATTCAGTGTTGATATATTTTCAGTCCGAATAATGTTTATCACGCCAAGCCAACATTCCTTTTTCATCAATTAAAAAAACAAGACCTATTTAACTCTACATACTACTCTCACAAAGTAATAGTACGACTATCGTCAAATTTATACACGTCTCTTTTGAAGGTTTAATTTAATACTAGTGTCAAATTAAATCTATTTTGTCTATGTGTCAGCTTACTTTTCAGCCCACCTATGTACTCTGTTAATTGCTGTGTTTATATTGTGTGGTGCCTATTATTACACGGGTCAACACGAATTTTGAGTCTGCGTTCTGTACCTCTGATTTTGATTACTTATGCCTAACTAATTAAAGAAAAAATATTTTTATCTATTAAAGTTTGCTTTTGTAGTTACTACAACGAAATTTATTTTTTATGAAAGAGCTCTATTTTTTAATTTCAATTATTACATGTAAAAGGAAAACAGTTTTGTTTTCACATTTTTTTATTGACTTTAATTATACAAGACGGCATATATAAACCCACAAATACAAAAAATAATACAAATAAGACTTTAAAAATGAACAGACTTGGTATTTCTTCTGTGTAAGTTGGAACTTTTTCGTATGATCCCCCAAATGTAGTCACCCATCATGTTTTCATTATATTGTCCTTGATAACGCTTTTCAAAGTTTATTACATCTTGGTGGAAACGTTCCCCTTGCTCTTCCGAATATGCACCTAAGTTGTCTTTAAAGTTATCCAAATGAGCATGTATCATGTGGACTTTCAATGACATTCTGCAACCCATAACTTTGAAGTTGTGAAGCATATCAGTAATAAGCTCCGTGTAATTCTCTGCCCTTCTGTTGCCAAGAAAGCCATTAATCACTGCTTTAAGGCTGAGCCACGCTTGTTTTTCGTGGGTACTGAGGAGCTGTAGGAATTGTTCACTGGCCATTATTTTCTTTATTTGTGGACCAATGAAAATACCAGCTTTAATTTTAGCCTCTGACAATTTCGGGAAAAATGATTTTAAATATTGAAAGACCTCAGAGTCTTGACGCAGAGCCTTTACGAACTGCTTCATCAGACCTAATTTAATGTGCAATGGGGGCATTAATATATGATCGGGCTTCACAATCGGTTCATTTTTGACATTATGTTGTCCTATTTGAAACTCGCTCCGTTGTGGCCATGAGTGCTGCTGGTAGTGAAGTGCATCGGCTCTACTGTCCCATAAACAAATGTAACACGGATATTTAGTGTACCCGCCTTGCATTCCCATCAGAAATCCAACCATTTTGAAATCTCCTATCACTGGCCAGGCGTACTCTTCATATAAAACTGCTAAAACACTATAATATTCGTTTTACATTGTGTAAAGGTACAAAAGCAAACTTTATTTATTATAAATAGAGTTTCTGCTTCTTTTTCGATGTATACAATCAGAAAATATTCACTAAATAACAGACTCAAAGAAAAATATTTTTTTTGTTGACTTGTGTTATTTGTTTAATTTTGGGGTGTTTTCTACTCTTACTTAAATACATTGATGTTTTTATCTGTGAAGCAACTACTCTTGTTACAATTTCTATTTATTGATTTCTGTTGTTTCTTTATGAATAAATAAATGCATTGCGTATTATTGTTGCCTATATACGGTTGTGGAACGTATACTGTCGAGTAATGAGATGACGATAACAATACTCAATGTCATTTAACATTTTAATAAACCCAATATTTTAAATATTTGTCAAATCAGGGAAATCTAAGGTGACAGTAGTCGTATATTTTTTCATGAGCGCGGTTACCAGCCGTTATTTTTAATATATGGTATTTATTTGGCCTGCGACCAGGCTGTGGTATTTCGACCATACCTATGCATTTTTCGACATGCTATTAAATTCGTCTTCATCTTAATTAAATCTTTCTGTGACCCAAAAAAATTTAATGTTTCTATTTCCACAATTCACTAATCGAACCGCTAGCACCAATAAATGCGTTTATTATTTATTTCATTAAATAATTTATCCTTCCAGGTATCCCACAGCGTAGAGCTCAAAGCTCAGGGTTACAGACTAACAGTGTTGCCAGATGCATTTGTTGTACACACTCCACACGCGCCTTCGCCTGACATCACTGCGTTCAGGGCGGATCCACATTATCGAATGTAACTAACATTTATTTCTATTCATATAAAACTATCCTACCATAGAAGTTATAAAGTTTTGACAATACATATATATATACACAACCTTTTAGGTCTTGACATCAAAACATGATTGAACAAGATATAACTTGTACGAATTTACTAAATTTGACGTACATACATTTAACATATTGAATCTTATCAATGGATCTGTAAGTTGCCGGATTACAAGGTACTCTTTTGTAAAAAAATCTGGACTATAGGGGTTTTAGGCAGTACTCTATAATCCGACAAATTCGATAGCCTGACACTGCCCTGCAAAATATTTGTCGGATTACCGGGGGTCCACTGTAATGTAATTCGTACATATTTATTTTCAGATGCTTATCACTTCTTAAGCAGGAGTTCCTAGAGGACTTAAGAAAACGTTATAATGTCACCTTCGACTCGGCCAAAGATTCGCCTTTCATGGCTCAAGCTAAGAGTCTATTGTTAAATCAGAGAAATGATTAAATACCAAAGAACTACGTGTACCAGTATTGAACTGATACAATTTTTTTTTTATTCGACTATTAATAAAAAAAATGTATAAGAATCTTTTAGATAACGTGATTTATTACGTGATTTTTATGACAACGAAAGTACACTTATATTATGTTGTGTTCATTTTACAAAACTGAATCGTAGGTTGTTTATTAGTTAAGCGTTTGAATGCCCGTTTTTAATTTATCTTACCTAAGACTACATTCTATTATGCCTAGATATCAATGTAAAAAAAATCGCGTCACATGTGACCAGAAAATTACGTTCTAAAGTGACCATTTTATAGTTTTCCTTTACTACAAACTTGTATGTTGGTAAGTAGACATGATACCAATAATCTTTACACTTTAGATTTTCCATACAATTTCTTCCACACGAGTTCTAATCGAACAATACATGCCCGGGTCTCAGTTCGATTGTATTGTTTAACGATAGTTAATATTTTACCAAAAGTTTTAACAGGTGAACTTAAAGCTTATTTGTGATTAAAATATATGAAAACGGGCATTCAAATAGAATATGGCTTGCCATAGATTTATTTTTGCATGCCTTTACATAATTTTAGATAATTTAAATCATATTTTCTTAATTTAATATACTAAGTAAAGCATAATATTTTTGAAAAATCGTTCCTTTTAAACCAAATTATTTTATAGATATTTCCTAATTGCTTTTGTGTAACCAAAGCTTGTCACGCGTACCTCCTATATTTTAAGAATCAACACGTTTTATTTTAAATTATCAATAAATGAATTGCAATTTTAATTGTTTTTTATTCAAATCCTCTTAATACACATGAGATATCATTTTAGACTCATTCGTTAAATAGCTATTGGTCTTCGGATTTTCTTTCGATATCAACATCCACAGGAGAACAATAATCTGAAAATCTAACTCTTGAATGTCTTTTTTCAATGTCTCCACAGCTTTCTTCGCGTTTACCAAAGGCGCATTGTCATTCATTGAAGAGCCCCGCGATTCCGTTCTTTGCTTTATATTTTCCACTTTGGCTGTTAATTCATTTAAAATTTCTTGCTTCTCTGCTAACCCTGCGCTTGCTTCTTTGGACTCATTTGTTACCTTATTAAGTTCATCTAATAAGGCCCCATATTCACGAACAATTGGTTCGAATTGTTCGTTTAATATATTCTCGCGCGCGTTTATTTTATCCATTGAGGAATTAATGTTGCTGTACACTTTCTTAAGTTGTGAACTTGTTGTTTTAAATCTTTCTAATAGTTCATCTTTGTATAATCTCATTTGCGCGTGTCGAGCCCGCCAATCTCTTGCATCAGCCGTTATTTTAAGTCGCAACGCTGGTGCTACTCTCTCCAGCTCCAATTTCCATGCTTCCCAATCGTGTACCTTATTTCCAAAGTTACTAGAATCCTTTTCCTCCTCACCAGCGACTTCTCCGTCCGACTCTTCTGAATAAATAGCCATTTCTTCTTCTACTTTGTCCAGTGTTATCTCCGTCTCATCTTCCACTTGGTCGACGTCGTCTACAGTTTCTTCTGCGTCGATTGTATTAATTACTGGTTTTTGCCACTCAAAGTCCTCTTTTTTAAGCACCTCATCTGCTAAAACGTCTAGAATGTAGCAGACTTGCTCACCGTAACCTTGTTTCAATTTGTGTGATGAGAAATCAACTGTTATATCCTTTTCCCGTAGAATATCGACGATGCTAGCGATTATTGAGTTGGGATCGTCTTCTTCGTTTGGTTGCTCAAAGGCTTTTCCGGTCTTACGTATGAGCCATGCAGCGGTTGACGCAAATACAAAGAATTGTTCTCCTGGATTCGTTGATGTGATGAAATAATAACGGCTCATTGGCTTCATTTTGATTTCTGGTCGTAATTCAGTATCTATCTTCAACAGCCGCAACTTGTCCATGATGTTGAGATCCATGGTTCGATATTTTTAATTATACTAGTTACACTCTCCTGATTATTAAAAGTTTTAGGTAATATTATTATATTATAAATAGATATAGCATTAATAACTCAAAGATGCTGAACATTTGATGTTTTTGTTTACACCAACCGTGTACGCGTGTTTACAAATTCAGTTGCCTAGCAACGACATACTATCTCGCCCTGTCACTGTTAGAAGCTCGTGATGTTGTCCACGTATACTTGTCTATGATGCACTGCATTTAAATTTGTATTATGTTCTTCTACTTTTGATGTGCGGTGTCATTATGTATTATATATTCTCATATACAAATAAACACAATGTTTTCAAGTATTATTTGCGTTTTAATTAATTGCTATAGCCACTAGTCCACCCTATCAGTCACTGCTGTATGATTTCGATACAAATAGTGTTATAATAGGTATATATTTCTATAGATAGTCATACGGCCGGTTTTTATACTCCATCTAAAATTATTTCCAATCCAGATTATTTGCGATCGAGAATCTGTATTTCAATATGCCCTGCTTTGAACGCTTTTGCTTTGACCAATCCTTGTAAAAAAAGGATTGGTCGTTTCTCACGTGGTTTCGTTTTACGCGTTGCCTTTATTTGGGAGGAACTATATTACTACTTGAAGACGTGATTTATTATATAAAATGTATAGATTTCTACTTCTGAACGCGAAGGACGTGTAATAGGTCAACTTCGAATTTCTTTTGTTAATACCTTCTCATCGTCAACAATAGCAAATTATTTCGATATGACAGTTATACATAAGAAACCGATTTAACAGTCTTTCGAAATTGTGAATTCATGTTTACTTTAAAATGATTCATTTTGTGTTCTAGATATACCTGTGTTTAATATCTATAATTCTAAAATATAAAAATTTCACTACCACCCACGTCAAAGATCTAGAATATAGATAAACAAAAGATCTAAGGAGAGATTTATAAAGAATTAAAATGAAAAATAACGGCAGTCCCACACAGTTGATTTAAAATAGTGCGCGTTGCCAAGTGCTACGATTTTAAAAACCTTGAAACGGATTAATTTAATCTATAAATATGATATTTAATATTCAAGTACTTGGATAACTTTAAAAATTTGCGTCTTAATCATAAATATTTCGTGGGAACCCGGACCCGACGGACGTTGTCCTGCATGATATGTGTTGTTCAAGCGATTAGTGTATTAAACAAAGTATGATAGTAACGACTGCAGCGCCATCTGCTGCGCTGATTTGTGAATCTAAACCATCCAGAGTCACCCAAACAAACGCATAAAAATATTCAAATCGGTCTAGCCATTTAAGAGGAGTTCAGTGACACACTCGTTCAGCAGAATTTTATATATATAAAGATATTATATACCTACATATTAGCTCATACAGTTTCTACTTGTCTCCCTTTTTAAAAGTTTTTTGATGTAGTGTGCTGATCTAGTTATAAGTTACATAATTTACCTTTTTGAAATAAATTTATTTTTCTTTATTTATTTCTGTCAATAATTTAAACGCCATAAGGTTACATCAAAAAAGTTTGAAGTATGCTTAAATTTTCTTAATTTTTAATGAGAACCTTCTCTTGACAATAACAAACACAACAAAAACGGTCCACGCGTGATGCCAAGGGAAATAGGGATTCATTTATATATATATATATATATTAGATAAACAATGTTTGACACGAATGTAAGGACAAAACATTCAATAGCTATTTGAGACCGGTTATACAAACCCGAAATCTTACGGAACCATAGGCTTACTACCTCTTCTAGGTTAAGTATACGAAAAGAGTTTTTTTTTATATAACAAGGGACAAACAGTCAGGAGACGGTTTTTGACATACGAAACTCGAACTTAGCGTGTGACGCCCAGAGTCAAATTCCCTTCATTTAAGGTTATATTTGAACACAGATATCTTAAAAATATATCTCATGCTTAGCTATCTTAAGGTAGCTAAGCATGTAAATATATATTTATCGATTTAATTAATATGTTTTATATATAACAAGGGACAAAACAAAATAAGTGGCGGAGGGTTTATTGCCAGTTCTTCTCTTACCTTCTACGCCCTTGTTTTGAGAACTGGCAGTAAATGTAAAATAAGAAGCATATAATATATATTTCTTTTTTGACGTTCATGAGTGTACATTGTGTTAATTATATGAATAAATGATTATGACTTTTGACAAACGGTCAGGAGGCTCATCTAATGTTAAGTGATACCGCCGACCATGGACACTCACATGCCAGAAGGCTTTTAAGAATTGGTACGCTCTTTTCTTGAAGGACGATAAGTCGAACTGGTTTGGAAGTGGTTAATTCTTCAGGTGGCAGCCGGTTCCGTCGAAATGTAGGATTAAGTACGGAAAGGAAACATAATTTTTCACAGTGAGCTTGACATTTTATCAATCTATTTGTCATCTAAATCTACTTTGAACTATTAGTTTCTAATCTCAAACTGCAGTGTCTCTGCATAATATAATCCATATGATATGCTAAGACAAACAGCATGACAAATAGTTACAATATTTATTCTAATATTTCATTTGCAATCCCTCCACGATAGACGCCGCCTGGTTGACATATCTTTATTTACAAAACTTGGTAGATTAACCAAATTACTTAAGATGTCATGTGGAACATGGTAACGGTTACAGCTCCTTACAAACGTTGTGTAAAACAAAAAACTTGGCGATTAAAAAGAGTGGCGGAGAGTTTATTGCCAGTTCTTCTCTTCCGTTCTACGCGCTTGGTTTGAGAACTGGCAGTAAATGTAAAATTAGAAGCATTTAATATGTATATTTTTTTTATTTGTTCATTGTGTTCGTTTCCTATATGAATAAATGACTTTGATTTGATTTGATTAGAATTTTTTAAATCAAGTAAACTTTCTCTTGAAGAGAAACGCAAGAAACACATGAGACCTTTATTAAGTCCATCCTCTATCTGCAGTAAACGCCGCTTTGAGGACATTCAGATCCATTTGATGACAGTCTCCATTTCTTCAGCCGTAAGATGCTGCAGCCGTTGTTCATTCACCAATAAC